TTCTGCGTTTTCAGGCGCCAAAAAATGCGACCAGGCTGGTTTTTTTTAGGCTTAAAAGCTGACCCCCTTAACAGCAGAAACGAGCCCGAGCATGTGCCAGGAGTTTAATCCGAGTTAGGGTAGGAGTTAAAACGTGAAACGCAACCGCTGGGGGGGCTCTAAAGTCGCACTACTTGTTCTGTAGAAGTTGTAGCTTTGCTTCTTCGCAGGAATCAACTCTAAGTGAATCCTTCCAACCATTTTCGAATCATGCTGTCCACGTAGACACTCACTCGCATCATTCATTCACCAAACGCAACAACTAACTTACTTACGCAGGATGACTGGAGCGTCAAGCGCACTCATCCCGGCAACTGCATCCATATCGTCACCTGCGCGGAGAAATGCATGAAAAAGCTCAAGAAAGGTTCTAAGCATGACCTGTTCAAGTATGAAGGACAGCTGGCATTAGTTGGAGTTTTGGAGTCCGATTTCTGCACGTACGACGGGATGCGAGGCTTGTACTGTTATTCTTAGATAGTAAACTCATGAGCAATCCGTTTACATGAGAGAGCGCAGAGCTGTCCTCTTACGGATGCAAATAGATCTGATATCTTGTGCTCGACACACTCAGACAGAAGGAGAAGGCTGTGCGTAGCATTCACGAAATACATACCACCACTCTCTTCGTCTTTTCTGAGATGCAACCAAAACCAAACCGATCACTCACCATTCCACAACTCACTCCAGTTTCGACGAGATGCCGACGCGCATGCTGTTGCCCGAGCCGCTGACGAAAGCTCTCAACTACTACCGTCACGGCCCCGGTGCATCCGATAGGTCTGAGGTGGAGAGACGTATCCGAGCGTTAAAGAAGGAGATCGAGAAGCTACTGACGCACAAGCATGTCAAGACGCCCAAGTACCAGATGGAAATTCGAATCTGCACCGCTTGCTTGAAGGTAGTCAGATTGTTTCCTCTTTACAAATTTTGTATGGGTGATGATATCCGTGGGAGCATTCTACAAGCTAGACCGATGCTCTATGGTAGGTCGAAAGTGCTTGGATTGAATACGAGCTCCGTTTTCTCTTCTGGTTCTGGCGACCTAGTTCTTTTCAGTATCGAAGCTAATGGCTATTCCGCAATGGTCGCCTAGGTCTATGCAGTTTTTTATATGCATCAACTCCCTCCCAAGGAAGAGTTTGTAGTAAGTTTACTTCGAGTTTGATTCCATTCAACTCATCTCTACGAACTACTCTCTTCTTCAGTTCTTGCAAAACAAATGCGTTGACGCGTACATCCAAGAGGAGGAACTTGCGAACCTCCGCAAGGCTTCCGACCGTTTCCGCATTGACAACCTGAAGGGGACTGTTTTGACTGTTGTGGGCAAGTGCACCTTCGAGGAGCTGTTCAAGCTGTTTTTGTATGAGGACTCTCGCGAAGAGGCTGACAACTACGACACCCCTCTGAAAAAGATTCAGGCACTTTGTTTTCACTTACATACTATGCATGTTGTGCATCAATGAGAACGGAAATGACACGAAGGAGTTCCACTATGAGCAGCTGAGTTGTGGTTTCCCCTCAGTCTCTAAGTTTCCATCTTTTCAATTCTTCCTCATGTAGTCGATTTCTCCCATCCACTTTCAGCTCACCCGCGCGGCGCGACGCGTAAACGAGTTGATTGGTCAGCTACGTGGGACTGGCTGTGAGCCCGTCATCTTCAATCGCCTCGCGAAGGCGTACGCGGATATCATCGAGCTCTTCCGCCATCATCGAAATGAAGACCTACCCAACCTCCTTCTTGCTTGCGGAAAATTCGAATGGGCTACGGACGATTTGATGCATCTTTTCAAGTCGCATCGCGCTAACGTTTTGAAAAGCTACGTCGATGCGTTTAACACGAGCGAGTACAACGCTTTGAGCCATATCATCCTCGATGAAATTCAGGAAATCTGCGCTACTAACTACGAGAAGGTATCTGTTATCTATTTCTATTTCCCTTTCCCATTTCATCTGCTTGATTTTCTTGTTGTAGGTAGCACGACTGCCAAGAAAGACGCACTACAGATCTTAGGTTCAGCAGAATTCTTCATCATCGATTGAAAGGGAAACCAGCAGGCGCTGTCCTACCTCTGATATATGTCGCTTACTTCGATCTAGCACCACAAGCATCCACCCGAGATTCATTTCCTTGCACTCCCATCCATCACAGATTCTTTCCCTGACTGCGCAGATGTGTGCGGCTGTTAACAACGTCGCACAGGCGGAGAGACGCCTTGCTGGTCGCGACGAACAAGTGCGCCGTGCAGATGAACTCGTCGAACTGATGAAGGAGCTTCGCAAGGTCCTTGTTGAGTACAACGCTCCAAAGGACATCAAGCTCTGCGCGCAAACGATCCTCAGCGCCGTGCCCGTGATGGTGCAGAAGATCTTTCGCAATCACATCAACATGGCGGAGAGACTCATCGCTAACAACGACTACTCTGCTCCCGTGGCAGCTCAAAAAGCGTCGAGCATGATCGCTACGGCTTCCTTCGGCGCGATGGACGCACTGGCTCCCGAGATGTCGCAGTTCGGACTTCTGATCGAATCTCTAGTCCTTGTCCGGCAGCGCGGCATGAAAAAAGTCGAGGAAGGAGATGATGACGAGGATGCCATGAAGAAGTACCTCATGAAGCGCAAGGGGAACATCACTGCATCTCAAGACGACAACAGTGGCTCCGAGTTCGAGGATATCGATTCGAGCGGTGAAGATGATGAAGATGATGTCGCAGATGAAGATGAGGAAGGTTCTGACGAAGAAGAGAATGGCCGTCGCTCCAGCACTCCGGATTATGACGAGGAACTGAGCAAGTTCTTCCGGGAAGTCAACAAGGACATGAAGCCGAAGTCCTGCTCGTTTGCGCCGTACAATCCACCGCAATCGTTCAGCGCTGGCCGCAAGAAGAAGTCGATGGACACCGCCGCTGCAGCTGAAAATGGTTTGAGCCCCTTATCCGAGTTCCGTGCGTTCGAGCAGGAACAGCAGAAGAAGGTCCAGGAGGAACGACTCTTGAAAACCCCGGTACTGCTATTTAGCCTTATTTTTCTAACACGGATAGTGTAGAATCGTTTTCATGTGCCAGGCGATGTCTATGTCTCTATCTGCTCGAATCTAGTGAACTTTATTGTTTCGTGGAGTTGGTTCTTTCGGTTTCTCTTTCCGTACACATGTAGATGGTTTCTTGATGGTTTCTCCATCGCCAACACTCTTGCCAGGTGGATACTGGTTTCGGAAATTCGCAAGTTCCGCAGACTCAAAGCAGTGAGGACGAGGAGGCCAACGAAGAGGAACGAGCAGAAGCCTCTTCTTTCCTTGGCGATGGTAAGACCGTGAGTGAGGCGGCCGCCGAAATCCCGGAGCTCTCGATTAACACGATCATGGAAATGGACAATGAAGAACTTGGCCGTGTACAAGAAAAACTGGTGGAGGAGCACGCTGCGCGCCAAAAGGCCAAGAAGATTGCTGCTTCGCTTGACAAGCATGCCCGTGAGGGTGAGGCTGTTGAGTCCGAAAAAGAAAATGTGGGCCCGAACCTGAAAGGTCCTTGTTTTTCTCAGGCACCCACGAGCAGCATCTTTCCTCGTGGACTCAGTCATTCTTCTAGCAAGCGAATCTAGATGTTGTTCAGTGAGAACTTCTATAGCACTCCATGATTGAGATAGCTAAGCGAATGCGTCAGCATACAAGTCCCCCTAGTATAAAAGTGAAAGATGCGTTCTCTTCATCCAGTCTTCAGTATCTCACTTCGCTTCTATTCTCCAGGTAACAGCGGCGACACCTCCAGCTCCAACCAAATTGCCGGACAAGGTGGAGGCGACAAGGATGTCTCTGAGTCCTCTACGAGCGGGAAAGTGACTGCCGAAGTTCTCAAGTTGAGTCTGAATGTGTCCAAGATCGCCGAGAATATGGATGATGTAGACAAGATCTCGATGGAAGAGGAGTCCAAAAACCTGACCGACCCGTCCCGCAAGCGCCGCAAGAGCGTCGAGGGAGTCGCGCTTCCGGGTACATAATCACACTCGGACTCGAATTGAAGAGCTAAACAGTTCGACTGTATAATGCTTGTGGATGCAAACTCACAGGATATGAGTAACAGACGATGATGTAGACCAAGAGAAAGTACTCTAAATGTTCTAAAGTACTCCCCGAAACGTTGGGCATTCTTTCCCATCAACTCCATACGGATCTTTCTCGCACATCAACACGCACAGGCTCCGATCAGCTGGCGAGTAGCTAAGCTCTTGGTGATGTCCTTCTTCATGGAGGACAAGATTGTACCTAGCTGCCGAGGAGGAGAGCAGCAGCAGTTGCTGATAGGCTTCGTGATCACGTTCATGGTGTGGCTCGTGTTTTGGGTGGTGTGGTTCGAAGTGAGGCTTCTGTCATTTGTAGAAAATGTTTTTGTTATTATTGGTTGTCTATTCTCTGACTTTCTTCATGAAGTTGGTTAATATCGACCACCATCTCCCTTTCTGAGTACTGCATGGGCTTTGCCTGTGCGTACTCGACCCACCTTCTTTGCATTGATGGGATGTGGTGTAAGACGCATCTTCTTCGCGTGTTGATATTGACAGCGTGGCAGTAGTGCTTATATCTCGCCCTTTCTTCACATTATTGAATTAATTGAAGAACTTATCTTCCTTATAATTAAGAAACGCCATGAGAATACGGCAAGTCCATTTGTTTCCCTGAATTATGACCCTCAGGGATTCACTTCTTGACGTCGCACACGTCTCAAAGTTCGTGTGCGACAGGAACCACTTACTACTTCGAGAAGGGAGGTCCTCCCTGATGACCGTTGTTTTTAGAGGACGGCCAAAGACATGATTACCATTTCAGTAATATGATCTTAGTCATCCGACCGCATAGTTAGTGAGAAGATTGCTTGTATGTTCTGTAGGCTTCGCGTAGATGCAGGGCATGCAAGCAGTACTTAACGAACAAGTTGCAGCATGGTTTTGATAGTACAAAATAATAGCCTAACCCCAATGCAGATAACAATTAATAATAGAGAAGGGCGCTGCGATGAGTTGAGATGTATATATGAGAAGAAGAGCGCTTGCTGATGGATCCTCTTCCTTTACCAAGGAGAGGCGCCCTCGAGCATTGTGCGGCTTCTCTCAGTTACGGAGGTGAATACCCTCGAACTATACGACCTAGTCCTAGCGAAGCGCCGCCCTTCATGTTTAAGGTCGATAGAAGGCACACAACAGCACTCCCATATCGAAAAGCGCGCTAATTCATTGTAGTGGATCAGTATGCTGGTCTCTAGATAGACGCTCGCTGTCTGTTATTTGAATTCTTCCAAGCATTTTCCAAGAACGAAGCTGAGTTTTCTAAACTGTGGCGATCGTGTACTATATAGAGACTTGCAGACTTCCACTGCGTTGCGCTCTTTCTCACAATAAGCATGAGCAGACCATAATTTAAGAATTTGCGTATACTTTTGATCAACGTTTCTCCATGTTCAACACAATCCTTTCCATCTGTTTCAGACATAGCCAGAATTCTTTACACTTCTGAAGACCATACTCGTGGGCATTCTTTCTGAAATCTATGGGGGGACGCGAATGCCCTCCATGTGAATAAACGAACCGCAGTCATCAACCCTTTTGGGGGAACGGGCGGCGGTGACTTGTCACCATTTGGGGTGTGGGATCGCATGTGCGCATGTAGGAAGGTAGTATGAACGTAGCTGAATCGCTGAGAATGCATGGGCGCGCGCTTCTTTTTTGTTGTAGCAGACGCTCGCTCGTTCTCTCCCTGGTTTTGTATTTCAGTCAGTCTGTGAACGTCAGTTTCCGACTACGTCGCGCGTCAAGTTTGTTAGGACATTGTTTTGACCGTCGGATAATATAGCAACTGCGCAGGGTATTGGTGCGCTGCGCTGTTGTTCTCTTTATAAGTCGTGGGCACGCCCTTCGGAATCGAGCTGGGGCTCTTGAGTTTAAACCTGAACTGATTTGAATTAATCAAAGGACAGGTAGTAACTATTTCTTTGGGGTCCCCGTGCTGGATCTGGGCCAGAAACCGAATTCGGAGATGTGGCTTGGTGATGGTGCCTTCTCGTAGTACATACGCAGTTGCGTCGCCGCTTGGTGACATTGTGTTGTCGGTGCTTCTTCTATCCTTGTTAGCAAGTTGGTTGTAGTGCGTGCTAGTGAGTGCCCTCGTTAAGCCGCCCCAAGGGCAACGTTGCTGAAAGTAATCGAAGGTGTGCGAGCGGCTGCCTCGCTAGGACGTCCTCAGCGCCGTGCTTGGTAATTCATTGATAGAGGAGTGGAATAAATAGGTCTTAGCATTGCGTGCGATTCGAAAGAAAGACGAGTGAGACAGTCAGGGGCATAGCTTTTTGTTAGTGCGGTGCAGAAAGTGGCTGTGCTCGTATTTTCGAGATTCAGGGTTTTACTTTTGCAGGTTTTGCGATTTGCGTACTTATTGGATGAGTTCACTTCTGTTAGAGTGGTCGACTGTTCGACGTTCGTTTATTCATCCGTGGTCATGTTTGTAGCTCCCATATTTGGATTGTCAGAGAACTGCAGAAACGCGCTCCAGTGTAGAGACTGATCAACTAAATTGGAGCACTTCTGACGAGGTTTCTCCATTTGTTTGGCGTCGCTATGGCAGTGCAGTGCTCTTTCTCATATTTATTCTCCACATAAGACCGCTTCGTGTGGTCTTATGTGTTTTGTTATCGCGTCTTTCTTGTCGAAGCTCGGGAACAAGAAGCACACACTTAGTAGTTTTGATAATAGTACTAGAAGTGCCATGACGTCTTGCAGTGATTTTGAGAACAAGGAACTAATACACATATCTCTTATTTACAAACTTCCTCACATATTAATTTATTACGAACAAGAAGACACTACCTCCTGGACCAACAGACGACGTGTCCACGCACATGAAGCTAGGTCTCTCGTCGCTCTCCCTCTTAGCCGCGACACGTCGAGGATACACGTCTTAGGCGTGTCCGGCTATTTTTACTCTCTAGTAGTTGAAGCAGTAGTTAGTAGTAAGCCGTCACATATCAGAAGGCTCATTTTGAATTTCATGATTTATGATGTAGAAAGAAGTTAGTCCCTCGGTCCTTCTCTGGCCTAGTCTACTTATTGCTCACCGGGCAACGAGTCAGGCCAGCCACCTCTACCATCCCAATAAGAGACAGAGTAAGTGCGCCACTTTCTATTGATGTAGCATTATTTTTCAATCTTACGCTCTCCATGAACCAAGTCAATGTGTGGGGGGATCGATTGACAGAAGTAATCTGCGTTGAGCTCAATCTCTTCGATCTAGCACTATGCGACGCGTGAGCCTCTTTCTGCCTTGATTTTCCGAAGGTGTTACCTTAAAGAACGAAGCTTTTGGGCACAGAGGAGAAGGACAGTCTAGAGCTGGAGGCAGTTCGCATTTGTCATAGTTCCATTCTCCCCCTAGCTGTGGCATTCCAGTTTGATCATTCATGTCTGGCGTATGTCTTTCACGGTATTCGTTCTGGAGACGCAGTACAACCTAACAGCGCGATGCCATGACTGCTGTCGCATGGTGGGATGGTCATGTAAAGCCATCCCAGTGCACAGCCATGCCTAGACAGTTTCGTCGATGTTTGACACTTCAGGTTTAGCAGCTTCATTCTTCGCGTGAGTACGGTTTTCTAGTTCTTTTCCCGAAGAGAGACGTGAACTTTGTCTCACAAAGAGAAAGTGCGAAGTAATAAATGACTTTGCTGCTTGTTTCTTCTGGTTTACCTTCGTACTAGGACACAACTTAGGCCGGTTTTTATCTCATGTATCTATAGCATGGGGCAAAGGGCATCCGGGTGAGAAGGAGGATCTGTGGCCTCTACTCTGTCTTTCTCAGGTTGAACGGATGCACGTGATGTCAACTCAATCATTTAGAATGCACTACCCATTGCTATCCCCACGGAGAATGCCTGATCATCAGCGCCGTGATAAGCTGTACCAGCAAAAACCTACCTTCTAGAAGCAGAAACCTTTGTTCCAGAAGCAGAAACCATTCAGTCATCTTTGGCACAAGCGTCGCGACGTTGATGTGATTCACTCAGTAGCATTAGGCAAAGAAAAGAAAAAGTACTTTGGTAGTTGGTCGGACTACATGCAGAAGGTGTAAAGTGCAAGCGTCTTGGTGTTCCTTTTTAGCAGGTTGCACATCTCTCCACCCCCCGAGAAGGGACGGGTCGGTCTGTATCTGGTGATCGGTCGTCCGTGTGTATGTGACGGATATATCATCGCGGAGAGAGAGAGGCGTGAGGGAAGAAAGAAAGAGTGTAGTTTTCTACTTCAGCAACGAAGTGATGTAGCACACTTCGAATTCGAACCGAACTCGGTGGCGTTACTTCGCTCGGTCTCGAGAACACCACAATGTTGAGAAATCACATCACAGAAAGCTGGAGGATTAGGGAGAGAGGGAGAGAGAGCGACTTCGTCATCACCAAAAGCGAGACGAGACCCTTCAGAAAGTCGACTTGTCAGGAAGTTGCTCGCTTGTCTTGTCAGACCTATGCCCCACACCTTTTGCAAATCTCCTCTGTTTTTCTTAGAGCTTTGAGGTAGAAACCCACAAAAACGGCATTGTGTCTCGTATTTCTTTGTCTTAGGACTTAAATGAACGCGGTCGGAATCTGATTTTTGCAGGAAGTCTGTTGCTCTTGTTGTGAGGGCCTCGTGTGTTGTAGCTTTGCTTTTCGAGGACGATGTCGCTTAGGCAAAGCATTTCTGGTGGGTGGCTCTCGTTGGTCATGATCTTGTTTCCAGAAGGTGCCCAACTTAGTCTCGAGAACGACTAAAAGCGTCCGCAATGTGTGAGCGGACGTGTCGCGTGGCGGAAGTTGTGCCCTCATTTCGACACCTTTGTAAGAGAGTACCTGTCGCAAATGCGGCAGAGTTGACGCTCTGGCTCCGTTTGGTTCACTCCTTTGCAGACCAGAGGCCACAAAACTCCCGTTAGTGTGTTGGGTATCGATAACTCCTCTGTTTTCGTGGGGTTCACCCGCGAAAGCGTTCAAATATGAGGCCGCTTTTGCGTTCCGCGGAGTTCTAGACTTGGGGCGACGTGTGACCCTTGTGGCAGGGTTGTGACGCGTTGTCTCGGGTTCGCTTCGTCTTCCGCCGCGGCGGGGAGGATTCGGCTCTGTCTTACATCTTACATCTTCCATGCCCATCACATGACGCAAATCAAACACAGCATTTCGTTTTGAGTAGTTGGCGTTTGAGGTTTTGGAATGATTCTACCTCGTTTTTGGCAGGTTCTTTCGATCCAAACGATGGAAAATGATGGAGTTTTCGACATTTGTCCAGAATTAGAATGATTACCTGGAACTTCTTGCACAGAAACGACAGGAAATCTTGGCTTTTCGGTAGTTCTCTCCGGTTTTTGTTAGACATAAACGGCAAAAGCTCGCGAAAATGAAGGTGGATCTCGCTCACGGTCCATTTTTTCTGACGCAAATGATCCGAGACGAATGATACTCGCGACAAGCTCCCCCTCTTCTAGTTCCACTCGCTGCCGGCTTCTGTGACCTGCGTGACCAGTGTGAATCAAGTCGATGTGGAAGCAAGTAACCAAATCACGAAGTTACAGGCATACTGATCATCGTGGCAACCTTTGCGTTTTGATGTCGCGACTTCTCCTCTGTTTTTTGACGTTTCTCTTGGGCAAGGCTCTCAAAAATAGCGTTGCATTCATCGAGAACACATCTCAAAGCCTCAGGAACAACGTCACTACTGCCACTGGCCAGAAAACAAAAGAGGCTCACTAGTTTGCACCGATTTCCTCACGTGCAGAAACATAGGAAACTCCTGAAAACGTGTTCGTATTCAAGATCCCAAAGAAATGGCTTCGACGATGTGAACGTCTTGTGTCATTTCCTTGTAAAATGGTAGGTCTTCAGAGGAATGCGTGGTGCTCGTCTGTTCCACTCAAGTGCGCAGATCTTCGATGCTAATGCCTCCCATAAATCTGATCGTTGAAGCAAAATATTCTCTTCCTTGAATTCTTCTTGATTTTATTGAGCTGAAAGGCAGTGCTATGGGAACACTATAGATCTTGTATTGAATTAGGTCGCTCCCCCACCAACAAAACAAAAACGTAAGCTACAAGTCATTTTCAATTCAAAAGAAAGCTAATACTGTCACTGGGTTATCTCAACCAAGAGCAAGAATAAAGACGGACAAGTTAGAAAGATGACTTCTGGCCACCGAACAAAGTGGGTGCTTATACTTGTCGCGTGGGTGTTCACATAATTTTAGTGAACCGCTTAACAGTTTTTTGTGTCATGAAAGCTACCAGGGCGTCCGGCGCAGCTACACGATCCTAATCAATATGCCGTCTTTTGCATATTACCTAAATATCTAAATTACGGCTCCTCAGCAGCCGCTAAAGTCTGCCACATCGGATGGTAGGCCCCAACCTAACCTAACCTATTACAATTAGGTTTCAAGTGCCTGTCCTTGGTAAATGGGGCTAGGCAAGCTTTTGGTGTCTGCTCTCATGTAGTTCCTTCCTTAGGTCGATGAGCCTTGGCTTAGTGCAGCCTTGGCTTAGTATGCGGGCCGTGGGCCTCGTCGTCTTTAGGAGATCATGGCATCTTAGTCTTTAAACCTCCACTGATTGGAAGACTTCTAGCAAAATGGGCTGCTCGAATTCGAAGGCTGCCGAACGGCGCCGTCTGCGTGCTGCTGCAGACGGAACCCCCAACTCTCCATGCCATAAGAGTGGAGGCGGAAGTAGCCCGGGAGGTGCATCACCGACATCATTAAAGGGTCTTTTTGGTGGCAATGGCGATGTTGGTGCTTATCTGCAATGGCTGATCGACCTGAATGGCGATGTTGCTGCTGTTGATGGCGAGAAGAAGGAGACAAAATGTAGAGATGGTAGACCAATGGTGCAAGTCCCGTGGGACGCGATGGTTGCGGTGGTGTACTCGCAGCTTGCTTTGTTACTAGATTTCCGGAGTCGTTATTTGGGGTGGATTTTCGCTGAACTTTGTGGTCTGAAAACGAGTAAGAACGACCAGAAGGACGACCTTTCTACCAACGAACTCTTCACCCAAGGAAACAAAAGCTGCGACAGCCTCATCAACAAATTGGCAACATTGCTGGCCCGAAACTGTATACAACAAGCACAAACCGTGCAAGACCAAGATCACAACCATAAGCGTAATATTACCAGTGGTACGGATAATCAGAACGATTCCTCAGCAACGTTCGCAGACGAGCAGAATGGTTCTACCTTAGCCTCTGCGATCGTGCGCAATAAAGGTACGAGTAAATCAAGCCAAGCCGAGACCCTGGAAGAGAGGGGACTAAGTCCGGGCGATGTGAGTATATTCGATGTGGACGAAACTATCCACACAACGGGGGCCAATCTCAGTAAAGGATCCCGATTAAGCGTGAGCCCTGAGGAACGCTTTCTTGGACGGCTGTTTACCGCAACTTCTACGGCATTGAACAGCGCTGCCGAAAACAACAATTTCAGTGTGGTTGATTCGCCCTTGTACTATCACGATTCGTCGTCTCCGGTAGTGGCTTCAGAAAGCGGTGCTTTGGAACATGGCATCAGTCTCAGCTTGTTGCAACAGATGACGGACAAGCTAGAGGCCGCGCCACGATGGCAAGGATTGTGGCATGATTGTTGGCGGGAAGTGTGTTTCAAACAGACACCTTCAAGCATGCAGCGATTGTTGCTTTTGCAGCAAAGACTCTTGCTTCTCGCACAAGCGGTGGTGAGATTGAGAGAGATATTACGTACAACTAGTTCTACTTCTGCTTCTGATTCCAACATTGTGCCATCGGATGGACATGGAGTTGCTGGAAGCAACTACCCCGCAGCTAGTGAGGGCACTAGTGCGCTTGCACGTCGCGTTCTAGGCTTGGACATCGCGACAGCATCGAAGGGAACAACAACTGGAGGAGACGTAAGTTCCTATAATAGGGTCGTGGAAAATTCAACATCTGGAGGAAACGTAAAGCTTCAGGGAAATATGGAAGTTGAAAGCACTACTCGAGAAGACCTGTACTGTGGTTGGCGAGTCGTGCGCATTTTCACCGAAGAAGAATGGAAGGCTGCTAAGTTAAGGCACGGATAACAGTCTTGCCTTTCGGATAAGCGGCTAGACTATAATTGAGGTTTCTCGTTGTAGTTTTTGATATTCGTCTCGTATTAAAGTCCGTTCGACGCTTATAGCCCAAAGAGAAGCATAAGAAATCATCTTTTTAACAATTGCAGCAACGTGTCTTTTTCAGATGGATCCCCCAATAGAAACCAACTTACTTTACTTCTTTAAAATAAGCTGCAGCTCGGTGTGCGTTTTTCACTGGGAAATTGATATTCCTCGTGGAGCATCTTGGAAGGAGGTACAGCGTCACTGCCGGATCGACAGTGTCCGAAGTGGAAGTTGCTGGTGTACTACAACCTGCCAGCATAGGAGACGTCAATGGTCCTCAACCTCAACAGATCATGACTGTGACACCCAAGCGCGTGTATTTACGGTTCTTTTCATCTCCCACGACTGGGCAGAGTTCTTCAGGGGCGGCAGGGGATGACTCTAAGACAAATGTTGGCGCTTCATCACCAGCAAAACCCATAGAATGCGAGCTATCTTTTGAGCCTTTTCAAAAAAGGAATGAACTGGAACATATCAAAGGCATCGAGATGGACAAAGCGGATGAAGAGGTACAGGTGCTATATTCGTCGTCAACTAGTAGTAGTACAGGGCGAAAATGGCTAGGGGCACATGGATGCGTACAAGCTGGTTGTAATGTCGACAGCTGCAGATCAAGTGAATCATCAAGATCAAGGTCAATAGAAGACACGTTATTTTCTGCATTTGATGAAGGCAATAGCAATACAAGAATATTAAGAACAGATGAATCTACAACATCAACTACGACTTCAGAGACGACACATGCGGTTGTAGAACTACATCTTCCGATAACAGCAGGTGCTTGTGGTGTTACCATGTTATCAGACCGAGCAGAGCGAAAAAAAGAACGTAGCTGGTCTGCATCGCCAGAAAACTTTCCCACGCAGCACCCTGAAAATCTCGTAGGACATTTTCTCACCAATGCCTCTCTAAAGGGACTGATGAAGGAATTGGCCTGGAGAAAGACAAAGAAAGCACCAAGTAGACTGAGGTACCCGACTTCCGATGCGCTGCGACAACTATTACGAAAGCACGATTTGCCATTACGTGCTATGCCTTTGGTGCTTCTTCTACTGTTACCCCCAAGTGGGCTTCTGCAAATGATGCGGCAGTCGGGAAATGATTCAGGCCCGGCCCGCTTTGCTTGTCTCAATCCCACAGCTGGTTGTTGTACGACCAGCCCCTGGCTAGCAGTTGTTGCAGCTGATTTCGTAGCGTCTACGGTGAAACATCTTTTGCGAATGTCCGAACCTGGAGAGGGGCTTGACTCTAGTATACCTCAATCTCGCAAAAAGAACACTGCTAACTTTTCTAGTACGCGCAAGACTTCTAGACCGACAGCAACAAAGTATGACCGATTGCTGCAGTATTTGGCTCCGTTATTCTGGGGAGCTGAGTGTGGTGGGGAGACAGAAACTTCTGCAGAAGTACTACCTTCTTCTTCGTCTTCACGACAGAGAGATAGGACTGCAACAGGGATGAACGTCACAGTACCACAAGCACAAGCAGAGGAGTCTTCAGGAGGAGGCACTTCTAAACGAAGTGGCGATATAGGTGCAAGTCCCGGTATTGAGTCTGCCACGTCCTCCTCACCAGGGCAATTGAGTCCATCACCATTAGAAATCTCACCCACAGCCTCAAAAGTGCTGAACTTTGCGTGTATTTTGCGAGTAACCTCGTGTCTGCTCGAATACGGGTTGGCATGCTGGCCTCAGACAGAAGATGTACTTGTGGGGACAACAGGAGAGAACCTAAAAGGTGCAAATAGTGGAGGCCGCAGCCCGAGCTCAGCGAGTCAAACTAGAAGTGGAGAGGCGAGAACTCAAGCCCTGTTTTCCTCCATACAGTCTAGTGCGAGTTTCATTCTCGCGCAAGTTTTTGCCATAGTAAGACGGGAACCATTGATATTGTGTCGTGCGTTGAGCTACCACATCGGCGGACAGTTTGGGAGTTTGGATTCAGTTCGTTCCGTGCTAGTTCCGGATTTGGGTGTGCTTTTACCTTCGAACTCAATGAATTTCCAGCGGATTTGGCGACCACTAGACGAAGCAGGCCTTGAACGACTCATAGTAAGGCAAGATTCGGCAGTTGTAGTTGTAGAGAAGGGGAAGAACTCTACAACCATTGTTGAACAAGAACATCCAGAGCACGTGAGTGCAGCGCGAGAGCTCTTCGCTAGGTTGCTATCGGAAAGCTTGAAGATAGCTGCATCTGCATCCCAAGAATACTATAATAATGATCACAGCATGTTAGCGATCTTTTCTCGAGGTGCCGTCAGCCTCGGGCAGTCTATGCGTGGTGAATTCGTCATGGGGCGCGTAAAGTGCATTCTTCGTGTAGTTCTGCGCACTTTGATAGAGCACGAGGAAAAATTCTTAAATGAAAAACTTGAGGTCAGTACTAACGCAGTTGTGGTTCCACCTCAACTCTCCATTCCTTCTCACGCGGCTGATATAAGTGCGGAAGCGTATAGGCGGTTGGTCTGTGCTTTGGATAATCCTAGTGCTGATGAAGTGAAGGCCGCAGTGCAGCTCGCTAGCACGCGGCCATCGTCCCCGAAAAGAACCGGAGACGATAGCAGCCCGATGGCCGGTTTGAGTGCGCCTGCAGTGTCTGTTCCGGCTTTGCCTCAGACCTTCGCAGCTGGTTCGTCTGGTCCTTCCTCTACTGGTGCACCCGCAACAACAACGACTGCCTCGTCTGGTGGCAACGTGTATATGAGGCTCGGCAAGTTGTTGCAAGAGGTTCCTGCGTTGTTATCGCAGTTGTCGTTTGTCCCGCCAGAAATTCTAGTAGCTCACTGGGCTCTCCGAGGTTTCCTCTACGAACGACAGGGCGAAGTCGATATCAGCAATATCGACTACCAACAAGCATATCAAATCTTGGAAGACTTGTATGGTGATGCCAGAGTCAAGCGAACGAAAACCGCTACTACGAGTACTACTATGGCAGGAGGTGTGGTTGAAACAGCCCAAGAACATCGTGAGGCCAAAGCAGGAGGAGACGTGAGAACAGGCAGGAGTAGCATGAGTTCGAGTCCGGAACGAGGAGTTCAACTAGAAATTCGAGAGTCTTCTTCACCTTCACTATCAAATAGAAACTCTCTCCACCCAGGGGGGCGTTCGTCTGGAGGGTTCGGACATCCTTTTGGCGTGTTTTTAGCTTGGCGATTGCAACAAATAGCACACCTGAAAGGTGACGTCAAAGGGATTGATAAGTTTGGGGATGTTTACCGCGCTCTACGTCGACATTGGCCATCGACCGGATTTGGCTGTGGGCCACCCTTTGCAGCCGCACAAAGTCAGCCTCCACGTAGCTCTCTAGAACCGCCTGAAATAGCGCGGCTACTCTTCGTCAGCGATGCACATTGGATAGAACATAGACCTGCTATTCCAGAACCTTGTCCACCAAGTACAGCACAAACTAGAACAGCACAAACAGACTCAGATCATTCGCAACTGCAACAACTGCGTAGTCGTCTGTTCAGTGTTTGGTTGCATGAGCAAGAGAGTCTCATCAAAGGCGATTCCAGTCAGTTGCGCTTCACGAAAAACGTGGCACCTCAGATGCGCAATAGGTTCGGCAGTAGCCCTTCAGACGCGGACCATTACGCTACAGGTGGACAGGAGATTCGACGTGGAAGTGTACTAGTTTTCGGCTCGAATGTTATGACGGCTGGATCTTTCTATTTTTGATGACTAATCAAACTACAATAACATCTATCACTGCAGGGAAGATACAAGAGACTGTATAAAATCCAAATCGACACAACGAAGTCAGTTGTACACCTACTTTGCTTTCTAAGATCCCGCACGGGCAGTTAGGTCTAGGACACTTTCGACGTACTAGTAGCGCTGCTGGACACAATGTTGGGGAGGACGTAGAGTGGACGAGCCGTCCGATTCGACTTATGGCCTTGATGGAAGAACGCATAGTCGACGTCTCAACCGGGTTGGGCTCGCATACTATAGTGAGAACAGCTGAGAAAAACGAACTCTGGGGATGGGGGCATCGGACGATGCCGGATGATCAGAGTCGAGGAAAAAAGGACGAGGAGAAGCACGACCCAATGAAAGGAGCGTCATCTTCTAGTACGAATTCTTCTACCTCCACCATGCAAATGAATCCCATCGCAACGCGACTGCGTAAATTTTCAGTAGAAGGATCTTCATCAACTAGGCCGCTTCCGTCGACAGCGTCATCCACTGGAGGAGCAAGAAGATTTCAACACGAATCTACTTGTAAAACCGGTGACTACACACTTGACGAGGTTTTCGACCCCGGCAAGTGTTCATTTTGTTCAAGCACAACAAGTAGTGGAGACGAGGAGGACGATGATGATGATGATGATGATGCTGTCACTGCTGCACCTGCTCAGAAAGCAGAATCTCAAGGGTCGTCTCGACAACACCTCAATGTCCGTCCCATCCGCCTGCCATGGGATCCTAGAATGCCAGTGGACAAGATAGCTTGCGGTGTCCATTTTACTGTGGTGCTATCCTCTGGGTCTGTATTCGTTCAGGGCTTATTCGATGAGGACGGCAATTGGAGCGGCGCAGATGGTATTTTCGGCACGTCTGATACTAGGTCGGCGATAGCAGATCGTAGGAGTAGGTTTAGGAGAGTAATAGAGTTTGGAATGGCTTCTTCTACGGTCAAAGAGGTTTCAGATATGGGTAATGCAGATGAAGGACAAAAACCGGGAGAGGAAGATCTAAAGAATCTTTGGTCCAAAGATTCCAAGAATATCAATATTCGTATAGCAGATGTGGCCTGCGGCAGCTTCCACGTCTGTGCTCTGGACACTTTAGGCCGCGCTTTTTCTTGGGGCCGTGGTGAAGGAGGCCAATTAGGTATTGAATTGGCCAGGTTAGAGCCTGCATTTGAAGCAGCCGGTGACACATTGGTTCAGAGCCCGCTTCTGGTCGACACTTTTGGTACTACGAATAATGCTCCTGCTCTACAGGAGCAGGGTGGAAAAAGTCCCAGTACGTGGTCGCAGACATCAAGTGCGATGCTGCCTCCTGGAGAAGGAAACGCTAATACAACTAGTGCGTCGGGACAAGCAAGCCCACCCGCTTTCTTAGTCCAAGTGTCTTGTGGGGAAGTGCATACTTGTGCATTAGACAGCAAGGGAGTAGTTTGGTCCTGGGGTTGGGGCGAGTTTGGGCAGCTAGGACTTGGATCGGCAGGTCGTGAGAGCAGACAATGGACGCCACAGGCGGTTGCGACAAAACACTTCGACGGGAAAAGGATATTATGCATGGACGATGTTGTGTTAACGTATCTACTCCCCGTTTAGTGTTCACCTTAAAGGCGCTGCAAAGGTCCTTTAGTGTGTTCACATTAAAGGCCTCTCGGGGGTCCTTTAGTGTTGACGTTAAAGGCGCTGCAAAGGTCCTCTAGTGTTCACATTAACGGCGGCGGCCCCTTAGTGTTCACGTTAAAGGCAGGGCGTGTGGCGCGATTTTTAAACTATTCTATATCGAGGATACTGCACCATCGGGATTGTGCGCTGTATTAGACCATCATCCGCAAGCAGAACAACTACATTACCACTTTTTATGTGCGTTGTCATACTCATTCCTGGCTCCGTTCTTTTCCGCCCTCTCCATCCACAAGAAGGAGTCACGTCTCTATCCAAAAGAAGGAACTCCTGTCTAATCATCCGTCAGATAAGTTGTGGTGGAGCATTCTCAATTGCGATTACTGATGTGGAGACTGAGGAAAGCTATAGCGAAACGCAGTCGAGCCCACAACTTAAATTAAGGCTGGAGCTAATCATACATCTTTGGACGCATGATCCTTGAAGCGCATGGGGGAGTATCTATCACAAGGGAGCGCTCCCTTATACTTTTCAAGGATGCAAATGAAAGATGAACTACGGACAGATCTAATTAAAGCTGGAGGCACAATTTTTGGCTCAGCCTATGCAGGAGGAGGCAAAGTCTACGCATGGGGAACGAATGACCAAGGTCCAATGTAAATTAGAATTACGTGATCTACTCAGAGTTAGAAATTTTAGATTTAGCTCCCTTTTTACCTCTTCTACTAAGTTAGACTTTGTTGGGTTTTGGATTTATTCTCGGGGGGTAACATTATACTCATACAACGAGCCCAACAAAGATTCCCCCACTACATTCGACTAGATGTGGTTACGTGGCGAAGTGCTTGCTTGCCTGGTTTTCAAAAAATCCTTTGTAGGACGAGAAACCAAAATCATCAAAGAATGGCAGCCTCGTCGTCTCTTAGCAGGCTGCTTCGATTAGCCACCTACAATGTTATGATATATCTCATTATTCTCGGGGGGTAAGCTAGAGATAGTAAAAACCCTCCTCCTGTCTTATCTCAATCTCGATCATCTGTTCCCTTCCCATTCAGGTCAATGCGGCATGCCTCCCGTTGCCGGACGTACAATGGAGATTCTTGCACCACGACAAGTTCTAGCCTTGGCTCACACGCGTATAGTCCAAGTGTCATGCGGCTTGCAGCACGTGCTTGCGGTGGATAGCCAGGGTCGCGTCTTCTCCTGGGGCAGTGGAGGTCACGGACAACTGGGAACGCGGAGCTTACCAAGGTTAAGGATCGAGTGTGAAAGGTTAGAGGAGGTAAATGGAGTGGTGAACAAGAATACTCGTCTCCTGTTAATTCAGATTTCCTTTTTTCCTCTCTAAACCACGTCCGCCAACCACCTCCAGCGACGTCAGCTGCTTCCTCCATAACAGATACGCCGCAGATGTTACAGTGCGTAGGACGCGTTCGGATCACGAAGGTCGCGGCAGGGCGCGAGCATTCGGCTTTGGTTACTTGATGGAATTATTAAAGAAAACTTTCCTGTGCTAGGATTCATCATGGGATACTAGATTATAGTTTTACCATGAAAATAGTCAACTATCGAAAAAAATCACCACGATGCCGGAGTCTAACAAGCGTGACTCTAAGAACTCTTTCTATGCGTATGCTATTGTTGAAATCGGATGTAATGGTTGTGAAACAAGGCTTGTCAGAAATACGGTTTGATTTACAGAGCAAGCAATTCGTCAGCCGCGGATCAGCGAGGAAACCTCATCAAGATTAAGTGGTCCGAAAGAGCCACTTCATCTGACTGATTTCGTGTGTCAGAAGCATCCAGGAAGCGGGAGTAGTGTCAGAGATGATGGAGAATCCGAGATCGGCTATGAAAAACGGATCATACATTTGCTGTGATGAAGCTTACATCGGTGTTGTCCGTCGTCAGGAACATTGAGGATAGATTTTATCGGTTATGAACGCCTCACTCGGTGGTCCTGCAACATTAAAGTTTCGCAACGAACAGGTAGTCTCCATTGATCCACACCCACCAAGATGAAAAAAAACCTCCTGTAGGTGAACGTTATTTCTTCACGAGAAATTGTAGTTCATTCATCAACATATAATTGCGAGGATAAAGTGGTTTTAGTGAGAACGTCTTTAGGTAATTGAGATGAGTGCATTCAGGTTCTTTACTCAAAAAGGTGCCGGAGGGGCTTGATGTGCAGGGTCGTCCATAACCTAACCTAACCTCAAAAAGACAATGGTCCTCCTCCTACTCTCATCGGCATTTTGACTTACAATCAACCGAAAGTTTTTGAGGTTTACATGAACCAACGGAGCTTGTTTCATAGCCTTCTCCCGAGTGTTCCAAATCTTTTAGGGCAGTCTGATCAGATGGTCACAGATATCAGATACGACTACCTAGAACTAGTTCACAAGTACTAAAAAGTGAAGTAATTTTTATAACTGATCATTGGATAAGATCATTGGAAACTAGAGCTACAACATGCATAAATTTGGCCCGGACTACAACTAGTCACAACTTCATCTAGTTACTACTGTGATGGTGGCTGGGGGGACTAGCCTAGTAATACTAGTGTCGACTTCTATCAAAAATACATTGATTGATTCTGTATATAGAGAGCTCGTATGCGGCAGATACACAAGTGAGAAAACACTACCAACAAAGAGCTAGTAGCGACATTTCCATACCCTCGTTTGTAACTATCCTTAGTCGCGGACCTTAAACCTTGAGCCTTAATCTATTATGCATGTAGTAGATATTAAGTAAACTAGTATTTCTCCCGACTCCCTAGTTCGATTCACAATTTCGTTACATTTCTCCAGACTGACAACTACCTGTAGTATTCTTGTTCACGGCTAAGCCTAGGTAAGATATCGCAGAAAATTATAGCTCTTCACTAGTCGTATAACATCAAAAGATCATCATCACAACGACGTTGCTGATCTATCTGACAGACATCTATCCCCATCAAGGTCGAGACCCTGAAATCGCCTACAACCACCTAAAGTAGTCATCAACGAAGAAGAAAATGGATGTTTCCCTGCAATCGTTTTTCCGAGAGCAGCATGCTCGTGAGGGCAACGCTCACTGCTTCGAGTGTGGTGCTTTGGACTCCAGTTGGGCGTCGGTCACCTTTGGTATATACCTCTGCCACGTCTGCAGTGGAAAGCACCGAAGCCTGGGGAGTCACGTCTCGTTTATTTTACGGCAGGTAACTTTAGCTGTGATGAAACTCAAACTCCATCAATTGATGAGTCAAGCAGTCGGTGAATTGTGATGATTAATCAATCAGGCATTCATCGTCATGTTTGTAAAATATTTGATCCTTATGATCAAATAACTGAATCCGATGCCCTCTTCCATTCCTTATCTCTAATCCTTCGTTCCTGCACTATGGACAAGTGGAGAAGCGAGCATTTGGAAGCCATGAAATGCACTGGCGGCAATGCCTTGCTAGAACGCTTCTTACAGCAGAATGCAGGTCCAGACTGGCGATTGAAATGGAGGAATTTGCCTTTGGGAGAAAGGCATTTCTATATATGAGATGGAATTTCATGTCCTTGTGCTTTGTTTCGGGAGACAAGAGTGATTTCTATTTGGTGAATTTGATGTAAATGTTGTGCTTTATTTGGGAAAGATGTATTTCTATTTGTTGAATTTACTGCCGAGTACAACATGTTGAAAATGGAAGATACCTGTATGATCCATCGAATCAATTACGCTCCTGGGTATAATCGCGAAGAACGGATCAATTTCAGTAGAAATAATTGTGGTTAATTTCGATTTCCAATACCGACTGTGCTGTGGATAGTACTTCCATTCCCAAAACGTCTACAGGTACCAACAGCCTCTACTTTTGCAGTTTAAAGACCAGGTGATTGCAGCGGTACAGTCAAACGCATGCGCGTCATCTTCCAGTGATGGTGGCTCTACGCGCTCCTCCTCTTCAACCTCACAAAGTCTCGTCCACACTAAGATAGTAGCAAATGGCCACGACAAGAACATTCCTTCAGAGACGTCCTCGTGTTCCTCTTCTTCTACTAGTTGTACTACTTCTACTAGTGCAAATTATGGGGTCGTGCCGTCGACATCAGCAGTGAGTACAACGAAATCCTGTACCACGGAGGCAGTGGACATCTGGTCAGATAAGCTGTGGAGCATGTGGGATGATGACTTCTGGGAGACACCGACGTGACAAGATCCCCCAAAAATCATCTTCTTTGGAAGAACATCGTGATAACAAGGAAGGTGTTGAATAAGTAGTATTTTTTGTAATAGTACCGGTGTTCCAACAAATAATCAGCTGTTCCTTTGCGTAATTAATACAGTTGTTGCGAAGATTCCCTCTACTGCCTGGAGGCCTAGGATAATGAAATCCATCCTCGTGGATTTCTCTTTGAAACGACTCACATTGGATGATGTTACGCACCTGAAGAAGTAGTCAAGATATTCGTGAAGCAGGGACTTCGTCACAGCGGACCGGACCCTTGCTCAAAGGTTGTTCATGGTTTTTTTTGTTCATTTTTTCCTTTTTCAATGGGGCTTATCAATGGAATTACCTGGTGCAAAATGGAGGTCGACTGAGTACGTTTTTTTGCTTAGTTTTAGTTGGTATCCAGTTTTTTTTTTGGACAAGCATTTAAATCTATGTAGTCGGAAATGACGTGGTAGAAAAAGTATGAGCATGCAAAAAACAAAAGAATAGGCATAATGTCCATTTCTGCTAACTCTGGTGCTCCTGCTATTACTCCTTCTTTTACGAAAAAAAGATGGAACAACCACATCATGACTCGTCAGTGCACCAGGCTAAGACTGCTTTGATTTGATTATACAAAAAATAAATGGAACAACCACATCATGACTCGTCAGTGCACCACCATATTAAGAGTGCAACGAGTCTACCTCACAATGAGGTTGGTCGTCCTCTTGGTGGGACTAGTAGACCTGTGGCGCGTCCTCGCGGGCTCGAGATGGATTTCATCCCAATATACGAAGAAGGAAGGGACGGCCTCTTGTCCCCAACGAATCGAACCTCCTCGCTGTTTCTAGAGCAAAGTGCTCCGACATCCCGACGGCCTAGTATTATGAGTGGAAAGCTGAGGCATTTTAGCAAGCTTGATTAGAAAATAAAGTAAAATGTAGTTAGGCTTTACAAAATAATGAGTGGAAAGGCAGTAGTATGGTTCGGTGGAGAGGCCCAGCATCATAGGAGGCTTGATATTAAAATAATGTCTTTCAACATCCACCCGAGGCTGGTGACACACCATTTTGTCGAAGATATCATACTTATAAAAGTCACGTAGCCAGTAATAAATATACAAGTGCTGGTGCAACATGAAAAAAAGCAGGCTTTAATGTGTTTCCTGAGACGGATCACAGTGTTTCGACTTTATCGAAAGATGCTGCTGCGCCAGACACTTTGGCACAGACGACGAGTGGCAGGTTCTATGCTCCAACATTGGCTTCCTCGCAGCGAACTATTATGATTGGGCAGCAAATGCGAGTACTTACTTCTAAGACCACTATCTACGAATCTCGTCTTGTAGTAGTATAGCTTTGACGATTGTCGCTCTTGCTGTTGCGTCTTTTTCACGTCTGAGCGCCCATGCATTGCTTAGCGCTAAAATCAAACCGGTACCCGATCCTGTCTCACAGCAAGCAAGGGAGCTCGAACAGAGGTTATGCATGGTTTTTTGGTACCTAGTTTGAGTTGGTTCCGTCCTCAAAGTGACAGATGTATGATCCGCAAGAAAAAGTGTATAATGATAAGTGAACACGCCAACGCCTAAACCACTAAGCCAACTGCGCAGTTGGCTTAGTGGTTTAGGCGTTGGCCTGTTCACTTATCACATAGTCCTTGCTTGATGGGTTCCTCAAATTGAAGCAAGACCTGAAACACATGCAAACAGGAAAGACAAGAAGTGCCTCTTCCAACATCTGAAGCCAGGAAAGTGCCTGAGCGTGACCTAGCCAAGATTCGACGGACGTTCAATACCTTCTGTCCGGATGGAGGGAGCGGGGCAGCGTCTGTGGGACCAGGTTCGTTCCTTTGTCTTTGAATTGACAAACTAGTTCTAGTTGTATGTTCTGTTTAGTTTTTACCTCTAGAGTCTTAGCCCTTTCAACAAACTAGTTGTATGTTCTGTATTTCATTCTCCGCAAACGCAATTGCTGCAAGCAACAGCAGGAACATCCTATGCAATAATGGATTCGTCAACAGCAAAGCTTTGAAAATTAATATCGTCGGACGAGAACTGAACTATAGATTAGTTCTAGAAGTTCAAAAATGTCTTTCCCTCTCAAGGTCCTGGCGCAACAAGCTCTTCGACACTCACGAGAAGTAGCAAAGCCTCTAGTGTGTCATCGACGCCAGGTCGTGGACTCAGGGGACCACCAAGTTTAAGACATATCAACAGTCCGAAGTCAAAGCTTTTATCTGAATATCTTTTCATGACTGGGGATCACAGGCCGCCCTAGTAAGAAGTTCTAGTATCTTCTGCTCATAGTCCTCCCTGTCCCACCGCAGCTCCTCTGTTAAGGCATCTTAGTGTAGTTCATCTGCTCATAGACCCTCTCCAGCCCTAAGAAACCTTAGATGGGAGAAAAGTACTGTGGCGATGGACCACGTACGCTTGGCTGACGTGGAGCAATGCTTAACTGCCTGCCTCCAGGAGATTTGTCCACCCTTAGAGGAGGAATCTAGTGGAAGAAGCTTCGCCTTCGGCACCTCAATTGCGGCATCTTCATGCGTAAATCTTGAAGAAGCAACTTCTACCACTAGAGCCACCGCTTCAACAACATCACAGAGTAAAGGAGCTTTAGGCTTATGGGGAGAAGAATGAATTTTTGTAAGTACTTGGTTATTCCTGTAAAGTTGTTCTCAAAATTAAGTACTTTCTTGTTTTTCACTATTCTTTCTGGTCTTTGAGTTCGTGGTAGGTCACCTCAGAGGCCCATGAAGACGCGACTATGCTGTGTGCAGTGTGTCTTGACTGGTGCAGGTGCTCCTCTTCCTAGTAAAAACTAGGGTTAGATCAATGTCAATGAGGTGGAGTGACAACAAGCAGTATTACTAATAAGCATCAAACAGAAGCATCTGACTCCGAGGATGAATCATTCAGCCTCAGATCAGGATAATGAAAATACATATTCCTGTCTACTTCACGCCCACTAAGAGCTGCTCGAAATACCTTGTCAGCAAGCAGGATATCGCCTTACTTTTTGATTGCAGGTGTGGCTCGTGCAGGCGTGCGCTGCGTGGGAGGGGATGGAGAATTATGGGTGTAGCAGACTCATCTCCCAAGTCTCTGGAAGAAGAAAACAAGAAGAATAAGAGAGCCATTCCTGAGATGCATTCCCTCTACCTCTAAGAGAAGGGATGGATTTCGACACATTTTGCAGTCTAGTCGAAGAAGCGCGTTTCCTACTTCAGTGCTGGTATAAAATACCGCAAGCTTATGGGAAGTAGAGCTACAACAGAGATCTCTTTCAGGTGATCGATGTTGTAGATGCGTACAAAAGAGATCTCTTTCAGGTGATCGATGTTGTAGATGCGTACAAAAGAGATCTCTTTCAGGTGATCGATGTTGTAGATGCGTACAAAAGAGATCTCTTTCAGGTGATCGATGTTGTAGATGCGTACAAAAGAGATCTCTTTCAGGTGATCGATGTTGTAGATGCGTACAAAAGAGATCTCTTTCAGGTGATCGATGTTGTAGATGCGTACAAAAGAGATCTCTTTCAGGTGATCGATGTTGTAGATGCGTACAAAAGAGATCTCTTTCAGGTGATCGATGTTGTAGATGCGTACAAAAGAGATTTCTTTCAGGTGATCGATGTTGTAGATGCGTACAAAAGAGATTTCTTTCAGGTGATCGATGTTGTAGATGCGTCAGTCAAGGACCACTCTAAGTAGAGGACCACTCTTGCTCTCGGGCAGACCACCAGTTTGCGCGTAGTGGTATGGGCACAGGAGGAGCTTCAACGACTTGGTGCGCGAACTTCTTCAACAAGTCTGCGGAAGTTATTGTTATAAAATGTAGCAAGTAAAAGTTGTAGTGGAAACAACATGTGAAATGGAATTGCGTAAATAAGTAATCGTAGCCTTTCGTTATTCCAGGTACTTCCTGTCTAAAAAAAGCACTAGTTTTTTTCTCGAGCGGTCAGACGAGGATGAGCTACAAATGCAAGATTGCAGTACTGGAACGTCGACGCCAGCGGCTTTTCATCACCAGTTACGCCGTTCGATCTGACTTCTTAAACGCGTTCTAGCAGCAAGAGGACGTCATTATAGATACTTGATGTCGTCATCTTCACTTATTCCCTTCTCTTTGTCCCTCCTCTTTGCCCCCACTTATTCCCTTCCAAACGACCTTTTGATTAAGAAACCCAAAGGAAACAAGTTAAAGTTTTACTTCCGTCCCATTTGAGTATGAGTATGCATAAGCAACCAAAAAGAACTTTTACTTCACTAACTCATCTAGTTGCGACAGCAAGAGGTGCACCGAGTCAGCGTCAGAGGAGGGACCGGGTCAATGTCAGAAGCGGGGACTCAGCGGACACTCAGGTGCGGTCCACTCAGTTGTCCTCGAAAATTAAGGGTTGCCGAATTACATTTTCCAGTACTCAACCATCCTTGGCTCTTTTCCTAGTCGAAAAGAAGCCAGGTACGTTCCCAGGAATGTAATTCCGTAACCTCTAACAAGAGTAGTGAGACGTATAATTCGACAGGGCAGTCGCCAGAACCTAGGCGACGGAGACTTGCAGCCTCTGCCTCAAGCACGCCTGGCGGAGGATTTCATTTAGGCTTAAGGCACCTGGAAGTCTCAGAAGTTTTCTGAGATTTGTAGAATTTACTGGGATGTACTCGAGAAACCCTACATTTACCGTTCTACGTGATCTGATGCGAAGACGAATATCATTAGCTTTTCTGGGGTTATTTTTCGAGTACATGTTCACGCTTTCGAAGATACGAGGACTAGAAGCCTTCTCATCTAGATCTTCCACGGTTGTTTAGAGACCAAGATCATAAACGTGTTTCAGGAATAGCTGTTTAGCTTCAGAGATCAGGAAAGGGTTCCTCTTGCTGAGCGGTACGGTCTAATTCGAGGCTCCGCGAGACAGCTAGCTCCACTCTCCGTGTCGCCATCATTAAGGCATCTTGGACTTCTTTTCATAGACCGAGAATCGATATGTGCACAGTCACCGAGACTGTCTTTCTAAAAATTTAATCAAAACGTGTCCTCTCATCTTTCTAAGTGTATGGAAACAAGAGGAGAAACAAGAATATTTAAGAACGTTCTCACTTAGAGAATTACAACAACCTCGATAAACACTAACACTGTAGTGCCTCTCTAATGTGGAAGGAGAAAGCGGCTTATCAGAATAGAGGACGTGGAAAGGACGCTGGTGGAGTCCACAAGACCCTCACCCTGTTGGAAACTGAGGATCGAAGTAGTAGAAGTGTTAAGAATCACCACTTGTAGTATCGCAGTAGTAGAAGTGCAAGTGTTACGAATCAGCAATTCCGGTTATAGTATCGCAGTAGTAGTAGTACTAGTGTTAAGAATCGGAAAATGCGATCTATGGAGCCCTCCTGGGGATGAATGAAAAGAGGTTTTGAATTTCATCAGAGGTGTCGTGATATTTTGATTTTCATTAGACGTGTGATACAGATAATACTAGTATAGCGCTAGTAGTACAAGTGATAGTGATGCTTGTGCTGATAGATACTCTTGATTCTTCTAACCTGCAAAAAATAGCTTCGGGACGGTTAGTAGCTTCGCGGCGACTGCCTAGTATGGACCGATTGCGAGCCAATAAACCGCCACCTCGGGAGCTGAGTCCGATAGGAACGCCTGCCCAAGGAAGTCAAGAGGTGTCGTCGGAACTCTAAGGGTTATAATGCTTAAAGCACTGAACGAAAAAATAACCAGTTAATAGTTTTTCGCTCGTACTTAGTTCCTTCTACCTTCATGAAAATTCAAATTGTATTGATAAGGTGACATTAGTGACTAGAGGTTTGAATCACTTGTCAGGCTCTCCGTAGGTGAAAACCTGGATAGGCCTACAAAGATCCTAGCTTGTTGCGAGTAGGGTTCAAATACTTATAATGAACTACCGTATGGAGGAGATACGTGCTCTAAGAGTCGCTCATTTCACAAGCAAGGGAAGAATTGGGAAAATTTTCGTGAGCGTGGACTGCTGTGGATGCGTTTATCAAAGAAGAGGGTAATAACAGTGCAGCTGGCTGCGCGTTTTCCCGTGGAAGATTTGGAAATAGTGCTCGGTGAGCGTTTTTCATGCAGCTATGTGCATAGTAAATGTAAATGTTTGAAGTAAATGCCACACTAGTGGTAACGACCTTACAACATCTCATTTAGCATCATGAAAGAAGGAAACAGAAATTGAAACACTGCTGGACCGACTAGACCCATTAGTGTTTCTACCATGCATAGAGTCTCATCTTCTGGATAGTCATTTTCTACGCTCAGAAAAGAGCAAATCCTAACTTACATCTGTCGATAGATTATTCCCCTTTCTGATAGCAAACATATCATCATTGTCATTGGTCATACCTATCATGAAAATCAAAATGAATCTCGTCTAGCAGTGAATATATTTATTTTATACTTATATACAACTACTTAATACGGCAAGCACAGGCCTCGGCCGCCTCCGATGAGAAGACCTCCAGGGCTGTTGGACGACACGCGGCGCCTAAAAAAATAGATGGCTCCTACTTAGCATGGCCATTACAATAAGGTTACAACTCCTGTTCGGGCTGGAGCTGATGCATTTTGCACAAGTAGTACTACATTCAGTATTTTTGTCATTGAAGATCATCACGAATAAAAATGCTAAGACTACTGTAGAGGCGACGACGAGGACCTGATCAAAAGTAATTGGCTGTAGTTCTTTGGTCCTGGACACGCTTACCTGTGCTAACGAGAGTCGGTTTGGTTACTTACTTTAGATGTTGTTGTCTATTGAGATGAAACAGAGTGTCGGTTTAGTTACCCTTTCGGCGTTCTGGGAAAACAAAAGAAAAATATGACCTTGTGAAGGCAAACATTGATTGATTGCTTGATTGATTGAAGAAAGTCGGTGTGATCCTGATCGCTTGGGAAGGCAGGTAAAACTGCGGACGGCGGACACCCTCCTAATCCTAGTCCTTGTGCTTCCAGCTTCAATCAATGACTCGGTGTCATGTTTCTCGTAATGCCCGTTGTGAATAGTTCTCAGAAGGTATCCTGCTACTTTTGTAGAATATAATTGATCGTGGTCACGCTTCGGTCCTACTCTCGTCTAGACCTCCGACAATACTCTGACGCGTCGGTCCTCTCGTGTACGCCGTCGCCGACAAGAAGAGCGTCCTCATTCTTCGCTCTTATAATCGTTCAGGGCAACATTTGGAGGTCGATATGAGAAAAGTGTCTTGGCGTTGTCATCGTGTTGGAGCTAGCCACATTGGACACAAAATGTCTCATTTCGTAGCTTCGTTCCGGTTTCGTCCATATTAGTAGGGGCTTATCATGTCTGCTTTTATGCCGTCATTCAGCCATGACACTTTCCAGGATTTGACTGATTGAAGATCTAAGATAACAACTGTTTTATCTTCCCGTGCTGAGTTGTACATGATCAGCAGCATCTTCATCATCATGACACTTTCCAGTCTTGTGCACTCGCTCCTCTCGTCACCTCTGGAGCCGGTGGCTACAACGACGAATCGGCGTAATATTGCAACGTCTTTTGATATCGTAGCTTTGCCGCCCCCTGGTGGCGTTCTCAAATACCACCATTAAGGCTAGACACGCACTATCATTTCTGGTGTGACACATCTGGACTCTCTCCCCTCTCTTCCTCTTCAAGAAAGCAAAGGATGAGACAATCAATTCAGAATTATCCTAACACAGTTTTAGGATAATCCTGAGTGAACTGTCTCATCCTGCTTTGATGTTTCCCCTTTCGTCAAGGGGAAGAAAGAAAGCAAGGGGCGGAAACAAAGTCTTTCGCAACTCACTCGGCAACAGATAGTGAGTGGCTAGCGTTAACAGCAGCGCTATTCCTCTCCGCATGGTGCAAATGGCATCAACGGAGACGCAGAAGCTGTCGTTGGAGCAAATAGCCTCAGTCAAGGACAAGCCTTTGGAATGTCAGGTGGAACCTCGTCACCTGGAGTTAAGGGTTCTTGTAAGTTGACCGATCTATGAGCATATCTATGGCTTCTTCAACTAGGAAAGTCATAAATAAAAATATGCGAGCTAGACCGGTCAGGTTGTAACCGCTAATGGAGACGATGACCTAGGAAATCTTGGTCAAGGAGTAGTGCCTGGAAGTACTGCAGGCCTACGAAACCCCACTGGCCCATCCGTGAGACCGCCAGAGGGCGACGTCTGTATGGATGATGTTTTTTCCCCCATCTAGGTCAGAGAGCCATCTTCTTCTAGGCTGGTGTCCCTTTGGTTCCCCTCGAACCTGTGTACTTATAGCTTAAGGGGGTACTTAGTTTTTCCCTCATCATGATCCTAAGTTAGTACCTCCTCCAATCAAAGCTTAGAGGGAAGCCTCGATGGTCTGGCCCTAGAGGGGAGAAAATACACCATTCATAGTTTGGCTTGTTCTTGATGAAGCACCAGAGGAGACGAACGCACTGGTTGAAACAGACATCTTCAATAAAAGATGGATGCATATAACCGATCCGAAATCGGATCCGATGGGGATTAATTGTCTGGTTATGGCGTTGAACTTCAAAAACAACTACATGTAAACTGATTTGGATCTTCATTCGTGTTGTGTTAATACCTCGTAAAGTTATAGAGTCCCGCCGGTAGTCGAGGAGTACCACCCGAGATGCCAATCAATCTATCGATCAATCTATCAATCAATTACTCAGTATTCAGTAAGTGCTCTTGAGGCTACGACTTCGGCACTTACACATGGTAAGCACTTGATCCTGTTATACATGGCAAGTCAATTTTGCCGACTCCTGTTGAGCCTGAGTAAGAAAGTCAAAGCTTGTATCTGTAGTAGAGACACAACAACACCTCCAGACTCAGACGTCGTGAAATCAAAGACTTCTAGATCAACAAATATAGGTCTTCTAACGCCCGTTCTGCGCATAGTCTGCCCATGCATGGTCCGAACGCTGGGATGGCCTCATGGAGACATCCAGCTTTCCTCTTCAATCGCCGCGTCCATAAAGTACATGTTACACTTAAGGCCACGGTAACTAAATCTTGCAACTTCATGATCGATGCTATCAAAAGTAAGTACAACATATTTGTTTTTTTCTTTCACGAGGAAGAGAACACTCATCTACCACAGAGAAACACTCTGTGCTAGATGGAGGTGACATCACTGGATGTCACCCTACTTTGGAGGGGATATGATCACTGGATTGATTTATTAGTTACAGCACTTGCCCTTGTTCTATCATATATTCTCAGCAAGACGGACTCGTCTCACGCTGAAAACCACTTAATAATTGGCTACAGCACTGCTCTTCACGGAGAAAATACTGGATTGACTTGCCCTTGTTCTATCATATATTCTCAGCAAGACGGACTCGTCTCACGCTGAAAACCACTTAATAATTGGCTACAGCACTGCTCTTCACGGAGAAAATACTGGATTGACTTGCCCTTGTTCTATCATATATTCTCACCAAGACGGACTTATCTCACGCTGAAGAGGACTTAAAAGTCGTTGACTACACCAGAGTGACTCTAATGCCATCAATCAAAAGATGTTTCAGCCGGTGAACATGGCTTCAGAAGACGGTCATGATGGAGAGCGGGAAGAAATTGCACCAAAATTGCTGTGGGATGCAGTCTATAAAGGAACAGTAGACTCAGATTAAGGCTCTATAATTCGTCGGATTCATGGAGGATTGATCGTCGAGTTTTAAGTAGATTAAGGAGGCTTTACAGCTGCGGGGTTAGCAGATCAATTGCCCTAGTATATACTAACTATGTAATCGAGGATCGAAATAGATTGTATAGATGCTTAAGTTAGATTGAGTCTGCTGTAACAACTATACTCACTTGGGGCGAGCGGACGAATTCGCAAAGTTTTCCTCACACGACTTTTCTCTCGCCACCTCTCTCCCTGCTCGTCCAAAACCAAGGTCTCGGTAGTTCCTCTGCCATCGCTTCCTCCAAATACTGCCAGTACGCTCTACTTCCTCTCTAATCTTAAGGGTCCGACTTTGAGCTCGCTGGCTCTGCAGTCCCGGATGGTGGAGGAAAGATGCCCTACTTCCGCAAGTTCTGTCCACCAGTGGATACCAGATCGGAATATCAGTTGTGCGTTGCGGACGAAGATAACGACAGCTGGAAGGAATGCTATAATCTATTACGATCATTATAGCTGGAAATGGAGTAAGTGCTATAAGCTCTTACCATTGTAACAATTCTTTATCGCTCTCTAGGACTAGTAGAGTGGTAGACTCGTGCTCGTTTTTCTCGGCTCTTATTTCGCGCTTACCAGCTGTTACGATAGCTGGAATACAGATGAGTGCTATGATCTATTAGGGATATTTAACGTTTTTCAAACGTACCCTATTTATTTTGCGTATCTTCGGGACCTCTCATCAGGTTTTTCAAGTAGGAGTGGTATGACAAAAATCCTGGTTGTAGAACAAATCCACTTATAAACTCTATAGTCAACTACATAGTTTTTGTAAGTATTTTGATTTGGTTCTAGCTGAAGATTCCCTCATCGCTATTACATCTCACTACACAATTCATGCTAGTTCAAGCTGAAGATTCCCTCATCGCCATGATTACATGTCACTACACAATTATATTCACTTTCTAACACAAGTTGTTGGCGGCGTCCGCCCACCTGGGGAGAAGCCTCGATTGAAGCCTAAGATGCACTCGGTGGCCGGTTCTATTGCGGGACCGTGGGAAGGGTTGTTGCCAGTGAAGGATTTAGTTAAGGCTGTTCAACATGTAATAATGTAACGTATTTGCTTGACTTCTTGAACGGATCACTGCTTGCTGGATCCTATGTATTTGCTTGACTTTCTGAACGGATCACTGCTTGCTGGATCCTATGTAACGTATTCGAAAACTGAAAATAACCGAGGTACTGACTGAAATAAGGGAGGTAGCTTTGACAGGGCTACTCTTCCTTCTCATCAGTATCTCGCCTCTATATTAAGTAGTTACTCGCTTATTTCAGTTTTTCGAATACAATTTTCCAATAACTGATTCATCAACTTGATGAAAGTCTGAGCAACAAGTTGTTCTCGTTGTGTTGTGTTGAACTCGTCCTCTAACCTATGGTATGCAGTTCAGAAAGAAAATTTCTACACAACTGGCCAAGTCGACGCGCCGGTGCCAGATTTTGTGGGTGAATACCTAAGTCCGATCAGTGGAGGGCTCACTTCGTTTGACGGAACGCTGGGTGCAAGTTCAGGTGGAGTGCATGGAATTTTTAAGGCTACTAGATTTGAAAATATGAATTTTTATTAAGGCAGATGATTTTATACATGCAACATGAGTGAAAGAGCATGGCATTCATCTACGTTCTTGGAGTAAACAAGCATTCTTCTTGTTGTAATTCCATTTAGAAGACAGTTTTAGATATAGTACGGCCTGAAACCTAATAAAGAAGATAAGCACCTTGAAGCACAAGCAACAAATATGTCGATCCTGAGCGATTACTGAGGTTCACCTAGGATTTACTTGATAAGGAGCTGCAGCGGACACCAGAAATGCATAGTTGTATGAGTCGCGTCTCTAATCGCACTCCCGTTCTTGACCCTCATGGTACCCACAGCGAACAAGCAAGTACAACCGCAGTACCTGGAGTAAGAGAACAAGGCTCATCTCCCGAAGATTTCCTTTCATCCGTAGATGATTATCGAGGCGGCGGTCAGGCATCAACTCATCGAACCGTCCTCCCCGGGCGGTTGGGGAAACCGCGCTACCCATTCATCGTAGATGCGTACGAAGATGAAGGGAAAGCCCCGCCAATACCTATGCAATTTTCATGATATAATGTTTCTAGTGCTGCTTTTGGCTGGGAATCGGCGTACCAATAGACTTGTGCAATTCACGCGGGTTCTATGTTGGAGACGACCAGACGTTGTATTGATGGATACCTTCTATGCACGACCAGTTCTGATGATATTGGCTAGGGCCGCTCGAGCTCGGCGTACGCGTACCACATGGAAATGTGAGTATCTAAATGCATGTCCCGTAACTGGTAGGAGGGCTGGCTGAAACTACTTCGAATGCGGCGTACTAGTACAGGGATGTCAATACCACCTATGCACTAGTTCTCGCAATAAGGGCTACGACTGATTGGAAAACCTCGGCGTGCTTCAGCCTCGTTGAGAATACGTGGCCCTGCCTCATTGAGAGTAGGGATAGGACGTGAGAAGGACCAGGACAAGATGAGTTTATCACATGACGAAGTCGAACATGTCTCATACATCAGAGTACAACAAATACTCCTTCAATTTTGTGGGACATGTTAACCTCCGTCTTTCGCGAGTCATTCTGGTGATGCTTCTAGTGTAGTCCTCGTGAATCAAGTTCAGTAAGTCTCAGCAGCTGGACACACATGGATGAATACCACTTTGTGGATGTTCTGCGCATTTTGATCCTTTTCTCTGACATTGACATGATTGCTTTGGTCTTCCCAATGATCTGTATTCCGTCCCATGATCTGTATTCCTATTCATTGCAGATTGCAAGGAGCGTTGGTGCCCCATATGAATGGGAATCCTCAAGTCCTGAAAAGACGTCTTTGTGCAAGGCTTACACAACTTTTAGGAGACTGCGTGTGATGAGTAAAACACTCTGGATCCACCCATGCCAGAACAAACATGAGATCCCCACCTACAGTGGTAGGCGTAGGAGTTGAACACAGGAACTACGCGAGTCTTTTTCTACTGAGGAGCTCTGTTAGTTGTACTACAGATATTAAAAATATTTCTACCTGTTGCTTGTTCTCACTTTTTAATCGAAGACTGACAGAGACACCACTCGTGAAGAGACCAGCACAGACCAAGAACATTCATACAAGCTAGTAGTTCAAAAGACACGATGACGATATATTAAAGATTCGTTCTTGCCTCTACCTACTCCGACAGAAGTTGCAAAGAACATCAGAAACAAAATGAAGCGTGCTCGTACGGATCGTGGCAATGTGGGAGCCACCCCTACCAAGCGCAACAAGTGGCAGGCTGAGCAAGATGATGACGACTCTGATGACATTAACGATGCAGATTTGGAGAACCTCGAAATGCCACCTAGCTCTGACGACGAAAGAAACGATGAAGAAGAGAATGGCATAATAGATGAGGATCAAAGACGAACTGTTAAGGCTCAATACAATTCATTTCTACAAGGCATTTCCCCTATTTGTTCCTTGGTAGGACGCTTGGGAGAAATGCAGGCAAGAGATGAGCTATGTTTTGAGCTCTAAAACTGGGGATCAACATCTCAAGAATAAAGAAGATGTAGCAGCTCATGCGCCAAGAGGTAAGTCCCCGCTTAGTGGAAGTAGTACTGGGATGCCCTCACTAAACATCAATTCGAAGCCTTTGCCTGTAGCGGGCCCGACCGTGAAAGCTTCTTCATCTACGTCTTCGCCCAATCTTCATGCGACCACATCCACATCGCCCGAAAACACAGCAAAGCCAAAGATATCAGAGGCACCTGATGATCCTGACAAGAGCTCTAGTAAGAACAACAATGATGAGGAGTATCTAGTAGAAAGCTTTATACGGTTTGGAATACAGTTTGGACCTCGTTTACGGCATGACCTCGTTGTGGAAACGCAGGTTTTGTGTCGATTGCCGAAGAAACTAAAAGTCGCTGGAATCTCCGACACCCTGATCGCATTTTTATGATTTGAATTTGTTTTTTGACAGTACTTTGACGGCATTCTCATGAAAGTAGGTGTTTTGATAGTGCCTTGATTGTATTCTCGACTCTTGTTTGTTAGTTTTTTTGACAGTACCTTCACCTTGATCCATTGTGTTCGATGTTCTAGTTGGTATATCAAACAACTTGATAGTACCTTGATCGATGCGCAGATTTGATTTCCTTCTGAGAGAATCTCTTGCTTCTAATCCTTGAAGAGCTTAAAGATGAGGTGCAAATCGAGCGTGAACGCCAGAAGCGGCAAGAGAGCAGCCTGAAGGAGACCGAAACTTTCGCCGGCGTTGAGGGCGAAACGGCGAAGGGGCAGTTGCTTGGACGTGATGGTTGCGCCTTCCAGGTGCCAGAACCAAAGCAATGGCCAGCGATAGAGAAAATTTTAGGTACTTTCTCACTTCTAAGAGAACATAGTACAACAGTACTTGTACTAGTGCTAGTGCTTGTTCATCTTACTTTTTTCTTATACTAGTTTACAAGCTTATTTGAACTAGTTCTAGTACAACTAATCAACTCTACCAGGGTTTAGGTAACCTGTAGTTCCTTTCATACTAGTCCAAGTGTTTGCACATAGAGAGTAATTGATAATAAGTTGAAGACACCAGCACGATGGAGTAACACCATGCAAAAAACGCAAAAAAAGCGCTTTTTTCTACATTATTCGCCTCAGAATGAAAATTTTCCATTTTGGGACGAATATTGCCCAACTGATCCCGGGGCTTTGTGTACGTTTTTTGGCTAAAAGACCCCTTTTCTATGTTCGCTTTTGGCATAGTGTTACTCCATAACCAGCACTCGTCTTGCTGGAGAAGAAGATTGTGAAGTGCGTTACGTACTCGTCTATTGATTCTCAGGGCACACCGTAGACGCAGAGGAAGCGGGAACCGTGTACCTTTTGACCGACTGCGACGAGCGACTATACCTTAGCATGAAAGCGCCCCTCTCAGAGTTACTTTCCCCTACTTTTGATCATCCTTTAGTCCTCGTTGGCACCAGTGGAGGCACATCCTTGAATAGTGGTGACAGATCCAGTATTAAGGGTAGGGTAAAGGTGCTTTTGTTCCCGCTTTTTATGCCTTTCCTAAGGGAGAAAGGCAGAAAAAGCGGGGTCCACGAGCACCAAGCCCCTACCTCTAACAGTAGACTGTCGACAGGTACTAGTACTTTTTCGCCATTGAAGTTACTGGGTCGGGTACTGGCTCCAAGTGGGGACGTCAGTTTAACCGAAGAAGAAGACCCGCGAACGGCAATACAGAATCTTCTCATCCTCGAAAGACCAGAATTTTGTCCAGAGCCCTTCGAAGTGGAAGTTTTGCTGGATTTAGGCAGAATGCAAGAAAAAAGCGAGAAAATCCAGGATAAAAAAGACTTGATCGCCATGATTCTTTCAGAATTTGATGCTGCTTCTCCTTCAAACAATGCTGGTGCTTCTTCCAACAAGCGACGGAGAGCTCCTCATTTCATTAAGGTTTCCGATAGCTACTAGAACTACGATAATATTCTATTGCATGATCCTTCTTCACCACAACTGATGGTTCTTTTTCCAAGAAGATACTAAGTAACCTCTTCGAAGAAAGTAGAACTTAGTTTTTCTTTCTTCTTCGAAATATTTAGAACAATAAACACATAAAGAAAAAATAGCCGATTAGTTTTTCCCTCATATCCTATGTGTATCCCAGCAAGCAATAATAAACACAATCAAGAACAACTCAATCAAACACTTGTTCTTGTCAAGAACCAACGAACTACCGCAATAATATTGATTTTGATACTGTGAAGAAGGATACTAGAATTCACAATGTGCTACTAACTTGTTGTAAGCGTCTAGTTCTAATTTCATCGCGTCAAAAGCGTTCGCTGGGGCAAAGGACAAGATGCTTTTCAAGAACGGGCCACTTGGTATCGGTTATTACGAAGATTTGGTTCGAAAGCGCATCTACAATCCCGAAGACGAGGACGCGGATGACGAGGAAGAAGGAGAAGAACACGCAACCAAAGCAGGGAAAAGCACAAGAACAGAAGTCACGACTTCCAATGGGAACAGTCGTACCACTTCTAGTTCTGCTAAGTATGCAATTGACCTTGAGGGGAACAAGAATGGGGCAAATCGAAATCTTCCTTCTTCCTCTTCGCCGACCTTCGTCCAAGAGGAGGGAAAGGACGTTAATATAGGGGTGAAGAGTGATGATCGTTACTTCATCGAGCGCGATTTACATGCGAGAACGTTGGACAGCATGGATGCAGTGGATTTCTTCCTGTCGGCGAGGGAGGTATCTCAATCGCAACCTCGTTGACTAGGACAACATTGATTCATATTGTTTGATCCAAAGTAGCTGCGACTGACATGAGGAAATGAAAATATTCACAATAGTGTTTAATCCACTTAGCTTTACTGCCATTTCCCAGAAAGGTACCACGTCAATATTCTTTACTACACCAAAACCCAGGTTGAGGTCGTTTCGCTGAAGGTTCAAGAATATACGACGGATCGACATGAGCGCGTCAAAGCTCTGTCAAAAGCTCTAGCGGATTTGCGCAATGACTTAACTGGCTTCGAGGAGACTTTATTACAGCGAAGAAAGGCCGATGGTGAAGTAGATGCATGTGCAAGTAGTACTGGAGCAAGTGCTGGCACAAGAGGACCTGAGCCATCGAAAGGTGCAGCTAATGGAGGAGGAAGCAAATTGTTCCAGAAGTATCAGGATGATGACGGACCTGATGAGTTGGCGTGGGATGAAGCGGCGGCGGAAAAGACAGAAGCAGCGAGAAGACGTAGGGAACGCGATGACGCTGTTTTGGGCACTCTCAGTTGGAATCTGGAACGCGTAAAAGCGATCGAGCGGGTCTTCAAAAAATTGAACTGATTTTAGTTTCATCTCATCTGTGAAATACGTTTTTGACTATCTAGGGTTAACAAGGTCGCTATCGCGAAGCGAGTATCAGTTTTCCTCTTGTTCATCATTCTCCTTCTTTCCCTCTCTCCCTCTGGAACTAAATACTCGTTATGTTGAGTGAATCCTTTATCTAAAAAGCCCCAGCCCGAATCATTTCAGCACGACATCATGAAGATAAACAAGGAGGTTTCTCTACTACGGCGGAATTTATTCTGGCAGATTAACCGGATCCTGACGATGTGAAGCTAGAGCGGTAGGGACTTACCCAATTCTGAGGTATATGTTCGAACTGATCTGGTCTGTATCATTTTGGAGAAATCAACTCTGTACCTGTAGTACTAGAAATTGCACACCATCGACCTAAGTTTTCTCTGTCTAACGTGTCCACTCTAAGTCTATCTGTCCTCTGCGTGTGTCCTCCGCTCCAAGTCTATCTGTCTGCGTGTGTGGACTCTAAGTCTATCTGTCTGAGTGTGTGCGAGCTTTAACTGTCTCTGTCTGACTGTTTGAGCATGCATAGAATGGTTTTCCTGATTGAGTGTGTGAGTAAGACTGTGCATTGCAAGAATATCGTCTCTGAGCTTGAGTGTCAAAAAACAGACTCTTCTGTAGTGTGAGATGTAGACTCGTGTGGCGTCTCTTTTCAGCTGCCTAGAAGTGCTGAGATGCGAGCGCGATCAGATAAATCTTTATTTATGTCATGGCCCAAGAAAGATGATTTCTATGAATTTCAACCTTTATGTCAATACCCAGATCCCGAATGGTGCAAACGTAAGAACAAAGTAACCAGATCACCACGAGGATAGTGATCAAGATCATGGCCACCACTCGGAGAGGATAACGACCAAGATCATAATCACCAGCAGGATCGTGATCATCAACAACGAACAACAGCACAACGATCACCACCAAGAACCAAGAGCAGCAGCATGGTAGATCACTGACAGCACTAAGATCAACATGATAAGCGCCACCATCATGATGATCAGCCGAGTAATGCACTAAGTAACTAAAGGACCAGCAAGGTCATAGACAGGCACAGAAGTAGGCAGAAACAACCACAACAAGGAGCAACAGCCTCACTCATCATTCTTGTCGGTGGCCGGTCTTTTGGGCTATTGCAAACAACAAAAACCTGATCACGCTATTGCCGTGATATAAAGAACGGCCGCGCGTTAAGGGTGCCACTGTATTCGCTACTTCCTAAACTTTCGCAGAGTTTTCTACGTCGGGTTTTTAGGGAAAAACTATCGACTTTTTGGCTTTCCACACTTTCCACGATCAAGACCCACCTAGATCTCAAGCAGTTAATCTCCACTCACGACTGGGAAGATAAATAAACAGACTGGCATTCGTTTCGGCGAACGAACATCTTCAAAAGCGTCGAGTTTTTCATCAGACATACTTTCGCGTCAGCACTATATAATCGGTCTGTGCCAAGAAGTGTTTTTCAGAAACAGAATTCTAGGCAAAATGTCGCGGCTGACTTTGAAACGCAGTGTGCTGAGTGCGGCAGCCATTGCGATTTCTTCTGTCATCGTCAACGTTTTGGGTGTGCAGTTCCTTGCGGCGTCGGACTCGGGCGGACCGCAAGATGTTTCCACGAGGGATCTGCAGGACTTTCTGAAGACTTTGAACGAAATGAATGTGAGAGAGCTGGCGAGAGCATACTTGCCTTATGTTAAAGAATGGAATGCACTCGATAGCCAAGTGGAGGCTCTGACACAATTCTCCAGCAAAGTCGACGAAGGAGCGCTAGATGTTGACGAACCTGTGGACATTATGGGAAGAATCGAACTACGCGATGCTTTAAAGAGTGTCAAAAACGCACGAGATGGCTTCGTTTTCGTGAAAGAGCAAGTAACGAAGCTCGAATCGGCAGCGCGAGACTGTGTTGGAGATATCGAAAACAAGTTTGTGGCTTGGGGTGGCAGCACTGATTGGGTTGCTCACTTCGGTTTGAAGGAGGCAAAAAAAGCGGCGGATGGGCTCGATGAGCTTATCAAGAAAGATGAACAAATGCAGCCGCATATCGAGTGTTATAAAAAGCTGCAGAATATAAAACTAGAGGACACGCTCAAGCCCAAATTGAATACGCGCACTTTCAGCGAATCGCTCAAGGGTTTTGTCAGAAAGCTTCCAGAACTTCTTCTAGCGAAAAAAGCTGGCTCAAACGATCTGGTAGACGACTTCGATTTTACGGATATTGACCATGTTATGGAAACCATGAAGGAGAACGTTAAAGATCAACTTGCCGAAACGAAAGCAGCCGCTGATGCTGAACAGCCGGAACAAAAAGCCACGAGTGCGCCCGGACCGCCAGATGTTTCCACGAGGAATCTGCAGGACTTGCTGAACACTTTGAACGAAATGAATGTGAGAAAGCTGGCGAAGACATACTTGCCTTATCTCAAGGCATGGAATGCACTCGAGAGCCACTTGAAGGCTCTGACACAATTCTCCAGCAAAGTCGACGAAGAAACGCCACGTGTTGTAGAACCTGTGGACATTAAGGGAGGAGACGAACTACGCGATGCCTTAGAGAATGTCAAAAACGCACGCGAGGATGGCTTCGGTTTCTTGAAAGAGCCAGTAACGAAGCTCGAATCGGCAGCGCAAGAGTGTGTTAAAGATATCAAAAACAAGTTTGTGGATCGGCAACGGGGTGGACGTAGTAGCACTGATGGGGTTACTCACTTCGGTTTGAAAGAGGCAGAAGAAGCGGCGCGTGGGCTCGCTCAGCTCATCGAGAAAACGGAACAAATGCAGCCGCATATCGAGTGTTATGAAAAGCTGAAGAATCCAAAACTAGGGGACGCGCTCAAGCTCAAATTAAAGACGGAGACTTTCAGCAAATCGCTCGCAAGTTTTCTCAGAGACGAGGTTCAACAACTTCTCTTACCGTTTTTAGCTGGCTCAAACGCAAACGATCTGGTAGACGGCCTCGATTTTACTCATATTGACGATGTTATGGAAACCATGAAGGATCACGTTAAAGATCAACTTGCCGAATCCGAAGCTCCTAAGCCGTGAGCTGTTTTTGGTGCATGCCGATAACGTGTCTGCCCATGTTGGATATTTTAAGGAGAGGATGGGAAATATATCAGTGACCTCCAGTCTACAGAGGATGGAAGGTACCGACTACTTTTGCGTGTTTGTTCTCCCTTCGATAGACTGGTAACCTGTACTCTTCATCTTCTACTAGAGAGTTGAAATTGAATGTTTGATGTTTTTGAGAAACTTGTTGCACTGAATTTTCCGACAACATCACAGCTGGAAGGGATGGTTGCCTGGGTGTGGAGGAGAAAAACTATGACGACGATCATGATAGGATCAACTCTGGGATGTGCGGCTTGCTTTGTTGGGTACTGAAACTTGTTGTTGAGATTATTTTCTTCAATTTTGATAACTAAGTGCGTACCTACGTTCCAATCGCGATATCTAAATTTGTCTTTTCAAATGTATGTGCAGCTTCAGGGAGATCGTTAGCACTATCGACACTGGTTTCTAATATGGCTATCGTCACGCATGTAGTAGCCTGCACTCATCTTGTCTCCGTATGATAGTTCTTCTGTGATAACACCACCCGTGGGCTTGGGAATTGAGGAGAACAACTCTGAGGAGGGGACTACAGATCGATGGGAAGTACTACTTCAACGAATTATATTCTTTGTGGCCGTTGTGGTTGTCTCTTCAAGTAGATAGTCATAGTTGTAAACTGGACTTTTTTCGCTTGTTCTTCTAGTTCGATCTATGAAAAGCAAGCCTGCTGATGAACACAAAAAGGAGGTTCTCAGGTGCTGTCGAGAAAGTATTAGTACTGAATTTTCTGACAGCCACAGCCACTATTACTACATCACAGGTGGAGCGGTTGTTTGTGTGTGGAGGAGAAAAAGTATCAAGACGAGGTGGGTAGGGAGACGACGGAAAAATTGCTGTTAAACCACATAATAGATTGCTGTTAAACTACAGGACTTGCTGCATCTTGAGATGGGCATTTGTGCCATGTACAGGGATGGACTCACTATGGGTAGCTCTAAACTGGCACGTCTTCAACGATATGAAAATGGCCGTGGTCGGCATCTACTAAAGGAGTGCGCACATGAAAAATCGTAGTCTAGAAAGATGATGATAGATTGATAAAAAGCGTTTTTTCTAATAGACATTTTTTTATTGCAAAAGTCGCCCATTGAAGGAATTTTTGGTCAGACCGTCAGACCCCCGAAAAGGAGGAAACGTGGCAAACAGTGGCGAGCATTGCAGCCCAGATCAATTGTGCTTAAAAATGATACATCAAAAGGCGAAGGTCGCTAGATACTGCTACACACTAGTCACTAGTAGTCGCGGTCGTCGCGTCGAGTGGCCATTCGACGTGACCTGCGGCACACCCAAAAAGCGGCTAAATGGAGGTCGTTCCCCTTCATATTAAGGCGATTGCTGAATATTCCCACGTCTGTCTCAGCACAAAACTTTAAGCCTTGGTCGTGGAGGTCTCATAGATTCAAAGAGAGAATGAGGTAAAAGGCCAGACGAGTGAGGTGGCCGCTTCCCAGAGAGCGAAAAAGACCATGCGGTCGCTGAGAGAAATTCATTGCTCTTCTTTTGTTTCTACAACTGGCACTACTTTTTACAGTTGTTGCAGTACTTCTTCTTCTAAGTAATTGTAGGAAGTAGCAGGGAAAAAGTAGGTCCTTAGTAGACCTGTGAGAAAGTTCAAAATGTGGAACGACAATAAAAAAGGAAGCATACTATAGTACTTACTTCTAGACATAGAAAAATTAGCAACGTGAGCCTACTTACACAGAAAGTACTAGACAAGCTTTCATCAATAGCTGCAACAAGCAGTAGCGCAAGTACGAGGACAGTGCCACGAACAAGCCGCATCTACTTAGTAGACGCTTATTTTTGTTGACACTCTTCTCTCAAAGTTCTGTAAGTCGTGACACTGGGCTCTTCCTCTTATTCCTCGAGCGTACACCTCCTCCTACTCTTTAATATCATCATCATCACAGTGATTTCTAGTACTGTCACAAAGTCCTTGTTAGGGGTCACTACAGCTACAGCTACTTGAAGATTCTTCATCTCCTCGAACATCTTTAAGTACTCATAGAAAGTACTCACTTGTTTGCTAGCCCCCAACTACAGGATCATAATTAGTACTTTCTGAGTCGTTGTTGACGTCTTGTTGTCCACTTCAGAACCATGCCTGCTGCTACAGCAGTCTCCTCATCGGCAGTGCCGAACGTCTCACCAACTGCAACTCAAGCGGTCTCTGCAACGCAAGCGGCTTCTGCGCGCCTCTTGTCCTCCTTGTTGGTAGGGGTGAAGCGGCGCCAGCAGCAAGAAGGTTTTCGATCATTGGTCGAGCATGTGGAAATAGAACGCCTCAAATGTCGTTTCGCTCACCAGCTGTCTGCACTACTTAAGGCTCAAGAAGAGGATCTATGTGCATTGTACTCATGGTAACGACGCTCAAAGCACATAAGTAAAGCAACCGGTTCGTTTTCTCTCTAACGACTTTAGGCTTATCCGTTCATGCAACATAAGAAGAAAAGTATCTAAGACTCTAAGGCCTATAAGATTGTTCTCGTAATGATCAGAATCATGCAGTTATGATGTAGAAAATTTTTCTCACGTTTGTGTTTTTTACTAGGTAACTAGGTGTAACGGCATTGGCAGATTTGCTTTAGATTCACATGCAGTGCTGCTGCTGCTGCATGCTCATTTTTGCATTTAATTTGTCTTTGAGACCTCTAAGTTCCGTTCACTTGTGGTCAAGCTGAAAGAAGAATCGGCATGGGAGAAGAGGAGACAGCTTGGTGGTGGAGACGAGGATGCTGTAGAACTACACGAAAGCGACCTGTTAAATCATCCTGCTGGTGTGGAGGAGCTACGAGGAGATGTGCCATATCATGGCGCTGTTCCTGTTGACCGACATGAATACGACAATGTTCTTGGAGTACAACAAGTCGTGAAAAATAAAGACACTCACCTCCTTCAGCACGTAGCTGTTGAAGATGAACAAGTAGCAGCACAAGAGAAATCCTCAATGTCCATGGCCTCCTCGCGAGAAAATGAAGGGGACGTGGATCCAATGTCCTTACAGATAAAAGCAGAGGGTGTAGGCGAATTGAGTACTGAGATGCCGATGTTGTCCTCACACGAAGAGGACGTCGTAGATCAAATGCGAAGTCCTGATGTCCTCACTGAAGAGGTCTTCGACGAGGAAGAACCAGACATCCCCTCTGAGCGTGAACAGGGGAGTCTGCCTCCTCCACCGCCTTTATGGATAAGGGTGTTTTCTCCCTTTTTCAACAGACCATGTTGATGTTCGAGGATGCTGCATGTTCTTCTAGGAACAATGCCCCTTTTCTTGAGTCCCTTGAATGAATAAGTAGGTGAAAGTGTGCAACTACTTTAACTTCTTAACACAGGGGGAGAACAAGCCTCGAACTTCAATAGGGGAGGAAAAACAAATAACAACATTCATAGCCTACTAGCTATCAAAAACGGCCGTCAATACAAGCTACCGTGATTCGAAGCCAGGTTGGCGTTATCGCACAGGGAGCCGCGCAAGGAGCTAGCCGTGTGCTGGTAGAAGTAGATGTTGAAGATGTTGTGAGTTGAAGATGTTGAGTCGGTCTCTTTACTCTTCTGACTCTTCTCAGAGGGTACAAAATAAAGACTGAAAGACCTCTTCACTACTCGACCATGTAGTGCCTGAGGTAACATGACATGACATAACTGAGTAGACTCCAAGCAATTTGTTCGAACCTGATAATGAGTTCCATCATTCCCCAACTTGATTCTCAATACGACAGCCAAGTTTTGTTTTATACCTCTACAGAACAAATATTGGTCTACTTACTCAACTACCACTACAGGATGCGTCCACGGGTAGCTTAGGCTCGTGTAGTTTAGCCTCGTCTCCTAGTACGACAGTTGGAGGAGCGAAATTGTTACCCAATTTCGCACTTTTACCGAGTCGTAGATCACCGGTCGCAGGCAAGCCACCACCGAGGATTCTAGGTGCTCCTGGTGGTATTTTCAGTGGTGCGGCAACGCCACGGGGTCCTCAACATTTGGGAGTGCTTAATTTCACACGTATAGATACTCGGATTAATACTTCCAACATTATAATTCTACTCTTCTTGTTGATACAGCTAGCTTCAACTTGTTTTTATTGCAAGATTTTTTGCTTCGGTTTTAGTCTTAGCACTTGCTTATCATCTTCGTCCAGAACCAGATAATTCATTGGTATTTTTTGCTCGTGGTCTCCCATCTTTCTATGATTTCTTAAAAACAACAGCACTACGAATGATGACGCCTCGAATGGAGGGACGGCTGTTGAGCACACAAAAAGCGACACCAGCTGTCCCACAAATGGCATCATCTGGTGGAACAACTACTACTACAGCTACGAGGTCAACAATAAACGGCTCTCCACTCGCGGAAGAAGGACCACATCATGCTTCTGAGCAAGGGGAGACGAGTCAGTTCTTGGCAACAGAGGAGGGAGACAACCCTACCGACGTTGAAGAAGAACAAGAAGGGACGAAGGAAGGTGATGCACGACCAGAAGTTGTTCTAGAAGATGATCGTGTAGGTGAAGATGATCAGCAGGTGAACACTGCTGTTGAGGATGCCACCTCTCAACAACATGAAGAAGATTTGCGCGAGCAAGAGGAGGCCCAAATGATCTTAGACGAAAACTTGAAGTTAGATACTAAGATGACCACTGTTTCGCCTAGAAAATTTGCGGTTGAGAGTCCCATAGTTGCTGGCGTAGTAGAAAACCCATCTCGACGTCATGGAGAAAATGTGAAGAATAATGCGTGCTCTGAAGAACAAGTTGCAATAGTGACCGCAAATAGTAGTACCGCTGGTTCTTGTATTAACCCGACCACCACCACCACCACTACCTTGCCTTCAACTTCTTCATCCTCACGTACCGGACATTCAGCTCCGCGAAATACAACGAGAACACGGGTAAATCCGCCATCTTCTTCCTCGAGTGCAGCGCCTCCGCCGACTGCATCTAGTTCGTCGTCTTCGTCCACCAATACAGGAGGAGCAATCGGGACTTCTACATCTGGTATTTCTACTAGTAGAGGTATCAGCGTAGGTCCCACAGCTTCGGCAAAGCGTGCAAGTATGCGAGCTAAAATGCGGTCTGGAGGGCAGAGTAGCTGGGTTAAACCGGAACTGCCACGCGGTGGTGCTACGGGAGGGGGGGGAGTGTAATGATTTTTCTACTTACGAGTTTATTTTTCTTTTTTTTTTCCATCTAAAAAGTACTAGAATTGAAGCTCAATATCGTGATTTCTGGTCGAAAATTCGCATATATCCTTCTCAAAAGCAACATTCTCATTCACATACCTATGATTTCCACAATGACCATCTTCCTCTCACAGGAACCCCATTGGATTTCTATCGCCTATGGCTATCGGTGCCGGTCGCTTTGGTCGAAGAGAAAGCGCAGACAACATGGCTGCTTCTAGTAGTAAACGAGGTACAGCTAGTACGCAAAATTCCAATGCATCTTCGAGAAGGACCTCTCTCGGACCCGGAGGCGGTGCTTCGTCAGTAGTCGTTGCAGGACCAGGATCACATAATACTAATGCTAGTGCTGCAGGTAGTACTTCCACCACTTCTACAACGTCGAGCAACAATATTAGCAGTGGAACTACATCTACATGTACATCTTCTACATCAACTTCTTCTCAAATATCGACCCTAATGACACGGTCAGCTTCTACGACACATCATGGACGCCGCACAACGCATCATCCGCCACCAGGAGCATCCTCCTCTTCGAGAAAAGGCAGTGCTATGCTGAACAATAGCATCAATAGTAGCACAAGCAATACACTTAAGGCTACCGCACCTGATGCATCCCTTATGATATACGTAGCATTCCTCTCTGGATTTTTTTCAAAGAGAGCAAAAGTCCAGGGAGAATCGATGTGGGCCCCAAAAAGGATGCGAATACGCTAGGCGACTCTGCTAATATGCCAAGTAGCGGCAGCACTAATGCCGCTATTCATTCACATTCCACGTCTACCGCGTCTAGTACAGCTAAAGCCACGTCCAACCGCTCGAAGCAGGTTCTTGACGGAACAGCTAGTGTCGGTTACGGGTCCTCATCTTCTGCAACAATTAGAACACAATCGGTAACAGTAGCAAGAGGAACAGAACGACGACCGCAATCACTTGCGCCGACTTTTCTGCCTTCACCCAGAATCCATCTACCAGCGAAAATTGGGATCCCTGCTGGCGCACTCTCTCCCGCTATGGCTCCACGTGCAATCACTAGTACTGGTGCGTCACAACTTGTTAATCGCAATAACATTAATACTGCGCCTAGTACAACTTCGAAAGTGAATAGTACTGGTACGTCTAGTACTAGTAGTGGATCCGGTGGACCGCCTGGTGGTCTTGTCGTGAATAATGCATCAAGTACTTCTAGTGGTACTAGCGCTTCTAGTGGTACTAACGGCAACAACATGATAATCGGAAACAATCCCCCATCTTCGCAGCCTCCTACGATTGCACGACCTCTACTGAGCACATCCTTTGCATTTACTTCACCTCCGCCAGCGTACCGTACAGGAAATCTCGGATTTCTGTCACCAAGGATAAATTGGTCGACGAACAATGGACCGAGAGCAGGGGGTTGAGGCTGATACACATACAGATACTACTCCTACTCGTTGCTATCGTGGTGCGAAACTGAAATTCATAATGTATTTTCGCTCTGACTTCTAAATTTTCTTCTACTCCACTTTCACGAATTTAATGATTCACGACACCGACACGACAAGTGCAGCAGCCTGCTTCTTTTTGAAGAACGCATGAAAAAAGAAACCTTCATCTTGGCTAACAGCCTTCATTTGACAACATATGTACTGACAGCATAAGTACACACACAAAATGAACATGATGACGCGCATTCTTTATCACCACGAGGAATGGGTTCAATCCTATTCTGGACCGTGTGTGACTCATCTGCCTTACGTAGTCTTTTTCTGTTATGGTTCTTTACTTGGTGTTCTTGTGTGAGACTGAGAACGCTGTCATTGAGACCGATGACACCAGGTGAGACTGGGCCCATTTTTGTGATGATATCACATCCTGCCTGAGTCATCCTCGTCATTCTCATCCTGATCTTCAACTGCATGAATAATCGCCATCACCGTACAAAAACCAATTCTACTTCGCTTCTTGATAAAAAACAAAGGATCGATGAAACAGGACTAGTAAAGCGGAGGCAACTCGTCACATAGTAGGATGACGCTGCAGCTGCGCCTCCTGAGGCGCAGCGCGAATCTGCTGCTTCTGGTTCTTCTCGGTGTGCTCTTACACGTGGAGGCATCAACAGACCTAGTGGAAGATGAGTGCCCGCATTTCATCCGCAGGATTCCATTTTCTAGTTGGAAGCTCATTATCCCCTACTTCCACGCAGGCGATATCTATGCGGAACGCATGCTAGGCGTAATAGAGCCTGGACAGGATCCCGAACCAGCTTTCATTCCGGACACCCTGGAACATAAAGTTCGATATTCTTATGAAAGAACGATGTTGATGCCCATCCACTTCTTGCTGGAATTTTTGATTTCGATCGTCGAAGATGACCACTCTACAACCTTCAGAAGAAGGTTCTAATACTGCATTCATCCCTACAACCTTCAGGAGAAAGTTCTAATACTGATTCTACCTGCAAAATTTGGCAGAAAGTTCACACTTTGGGCTGAGTGTTTTTATGCTGGAAAAGATACTGTCGCAGCCTGAGGAATATGTCTGGCAAATGTGGGCTACTGTTTCACGCGCAAGCCTAAATTTACCTACGGTCGAACATGCTTTGTTAAATAGAGAAGGGGAGCTGGGAGGAGGAGTACTGGGAGGAGGAGTGCGTGGAGATGAAGGAGGAGGAGAACAAAGACATCAGAATGAGCTACGGGAGAAGGATGAAGGAAGTTTCAATAAGGAGACAGCAGCGAATACATCTTCAGCCGATGATGTCATTCCAGATTCATCTGAAAGCATTCCTGCTTCATCTGACGTAGAAGATCCTTCCGGAGCCTCGACAATCGTCCCAAGTCTGACACGCATGTGTGCACCCAAGTTTTTGCTGTTGTTAAACCTGCTGATCGAAAAGCTCTTCCGCAATCCTAGGCAAGACCTGCAGACGATGACGTATCTTAACTGGTTCGACGTATTATTAAGGCGGGTTACCACGGTAGATGTAATGTACTCGAAAACTGAAAATAACCGAGTAAGTGACTGAAATAAGGGAGGTAGCTAGGTTTGACAGGGCTGCTCTTCCTTGTTCAGGCTTAACTGTGCTTATTTCAAGTAGTTACTCGGTTATTTCAGTTTTTCGAATACATTGATTCTCGTTCAGCTTCAGAAGCAGCATTCTTGACCTTTGACTTTTTGCCTTTCCCAAGTAGAAGAAAGTAGATCCAGAATAATTCTTGACCTTTTATTGTTGAAGTCGAACGAACTAGGTACTAAAGGGTAGTTCAGCAACGTCATCAACAAGGATGTCTTCCGACCTGAGGAACACTGTAAAAATTTGCGAAAAACTCCTCCTCCTACTTTAATGTTGAGCGAAAACGGTGCGAATGTGGTCATGGTGAATTACAAAGACGCGCAAGACGTGTTTATCATGGCTGCGGTTCTTCGAGCTACACATCGGGTATTGATGACCCAGTTCATCCTGTACGAGCAATACTACGGAGCAGAGTGGTTCCAGGAGAACTTACTAGCAAGACAGGGAAATCGATTACAAGCGACGGGAGGAACGTTGACTTATGAGAAGGACGAAGGCTTTGTGGAGATATTTAATAGTTTTTCTGGGCCGTTGCTGTCTTGCTCTACTACCACTTGTTGTGCGCTTTATACGTGCAGTACTATCTTAATCCCTCACCTCTAATGCCAAGCTCCCACAGTCCGCAACCAGCTACTGCACGGGAATATGACGCATTATTTTCTGGATGCCATGACGTCATTCTTGATATTAAGGGAAATCTTGTTGATGACTGACTTCCACGTGATACCCGTCTAAGATCTATGTATAGTACCTTTTCCGAACAAGATAAAAATCGAGGCCCTTGGTCTAAAACTGACTACCAGTTCCGCATCAGATGATTGTTTGACGTCTCAGCTTTCTTCATCTTGGATTCAGTTCCAGGCTCAACTGAATCCTTGTACTTGCCGGATTTGCTAATAATCCATGAGAGCAGTCACGCGCATAACCCTTTGTATGCCTTGGATCACACTGCGACTAGAAGCCACAACGCAAATTGGGTGCGCTATATTTGTACGTTTCCCGAGCGTTTTCTTCGCGTTCTCATCGGCGTCGAGAGTCAAACCGACTTGGCTTCGGATTATCTGTTACGGTCAACATTTGGTCGTGTCCATCTTCCTCAGCATCTAGATACCCTTTTCCCTTGTATTGCATCGGAAAGGGGTCGAGATGATCTCGCTACCCTTTCGCTTTCCCTTGTATTCTTCTCATGTGGGAAGAGAAGGGTTCGTCGAGAGGAGGGGAACATTCAGATGAGTAAAAGCTGACTCTAAGGCTTGTTTCCAGTATGCTCGGACCCAGTCCAACGGCTGGCTTTGCAGATTGGAAAGACCGCGAATTTGCACAGCAGCAGGACGAAAAGAAGGAGGAAGCCGAGAAGTTTGCGAACAGCAGAAGGAAAGAAAGGCGTGAGCATATAGAATAAGGCGTCTTCTACTATCAAAAATCCATCTTTCATGATGATCACAATTTCTTGGTCTACTTCTTGTTTGAAAATTTGAAGGGAACCAAAACGGGGACCAAGATGCGCGTGCTCGGGATGGATTTCTGGTAGGCGTAGGTCTAAATAGAAGGCGTAATGAGTCGGCATGAGTACTTTGGACAATGGGGCGATCATTTTGATGGAGACCATAGTACGAAGACTTTCTTAATTCACCCTCTTTTCGCCTTAGCCTCTGTGCTAAGAGCTGAGCATGAGTACGGCATATTTCCGGAAGCGACAAGGAGAGCCTTGCAAATCTTGGAAGAGTTCTTTCAAAGGAAGCCTGGAGCTGACGCAATATCCGCAAGTAGTAGAGACAATAATGAGGCAGTTTTGGTTTTCGGACGAGGCAGTACAACTACAGGCGACGGTAAAACCGAAGAACTTATCTTCATCACGGAGAGGGAACTGGAGGAAAAGGCTGCGACGATAGACAGAGTGGAAGATTCTGGAGTATCATACAGTTCAAAGGAAATTAAAGACCATGAAGAACAGAAACACATCGCTCCAGAAAACGACGCTGAAGATGAAGAAGCTGAATTTTTCGAATCTTCGTCGGGGGAAGCAAATAGGAACTACACAGGGAAAAAAGACGAAATGACAAAATCCGAAGTGCAACAGGTGAAGAAAAAACCCAAGTCTTGGTCTGAACGCTTGGTCGTTTCCGATAAAGGCACCCTTGAGCTCGATCTGGAGGACAAAGAGCGGCATAGTCTCAATGCGAATAGTCGAGACCCTCCAGACGACGTTCATGACTATGGCACAGTCAGAAAAATGCTCTCACGATTGTCGAAAATATCAGATGAGCTTACTCCAAGATACAGCGATCTGTGTCGCTTTGGGTATACGAGGTTGATCCAACGACTACGGGAAGCGAAACGGAGATTGGAGACCGTGCTCTTTGTTTCGAGGAGATATTGGAATCCGTTGAAAGTGGAGAACTACTGGGAAACACAATTGAAGATGTCTACACCAATATTGCTTGACGTTCCACAGTCAAGTGCGTGGAAGTTACTCAACGCAGAATCCTTAGTGACGGACCCCGTCGAGGATGCAAATAGAGACATCGTGAACAACGGCATCCCTGGTGGCGTAGAGGTTGCTGAGAGTCTAAGAGAAAAGTATCGTAGTCCTAGACGGCGGCTGAAGCAAGATGCGTGGATAAGAAAACAGGAATGGCTGTGTGAACGGTTACGGTATAGTAGGAATGATAGTTGTACTAATGATCTTCTTCAAGTAGATGAGCAACAAGGGAAGAATTACAGTGGACCACAAGGTCGTCAAGGAGAACCTTCATCTTCGAAGACAGTGAAGATTTCTGATGGAGCAAGGAGAAAGCTTGGAGGTCGTGAAGATGGAAAAGCAGAAGAACAAAATCCACGTGATTGTGAAGCAGGTTTTCTCGACTCTCTATACAGCAGTACCAACATCTTCAATCTCCGTGGTGATGTGACAACTTCGTCCGAGGAATCGAAACTGAAGCCAACTTCCTTTCCCACAATAACCGACTCATCAGAGAAAGGAAAGCTTAGTCCGATGATAAAAAGCAAGTCTAAGGGAGTCAACGATCACCTGGCCTCAGAAGAAGACGAAGAAACCAATCATGGAGTAATTCTGCGTGCAGCAAAAACAAGTTTTGGGAATGTCAGGGCCGTTCGGCCAGAGCACTCTCTTTGGGGAACCGAGAACCCCTATGATTTTTGGACCGACTTCGTAGACGAGGAATACTTAGCTTCTCCCCTAACCGACTACGCAGAAGACCATAAAGACACGGTGTTTGAACGCATTTTTGACGTAATAGGCGTGCAGACCAGGTTTTACGTGGAGATCGGCACTGGTCTCGGCACCGAGTGCAATTCGAGATATTGGCGGGTCCTGAGGGGATGTTAAGGCTTGTAAAAGTATTCGAAAACTCAAAATAACCGAGTTACTGACTGAAATATGAGGGTCTTGACTAGTACACTCCTCTTCTTTCAGTATCTCCCTTATTTTCCATAGTTACTCGGTTATTTCAGTTTATCGAATAGTAAAACTTAAACTAACTGTCTTACATGATCAGTCCGCCACAGCAAGAGCTACAAGAAGGACGTGTCGTGTCCAATCATCACGTGAAAGAAATATTTGGAATTAGTATTCTAGAATGAAAAAAAACCTAAAGGAAGTACGAAAAATCATGGATCATGCACGATGAGCAAAGTAGTTTGTATCACCTGCTCTACTACTTGCTTCTAAACTCCGGACGGCATAATGGGTGACGCAACTGGGGAGTTACCGCAGATAGGCTTAGGCCAGGAAATGGTGAACCCTGATACAATTGTAGACTGGATGCGGAGTCATAAGGTTCCTTCAACGTTTGACCTGCTTTCTATCGATGTCGACTCCTTCGACTGGCACTTGATGCGCGCAGTGCTGTTGAGTGGAGAATTTTTGCCCAGAGTGATCGTTGTGGAGCATACAAGACACGCACATCCAACGAATGCGAGATACTATTATGGAAAGGAGGAATTTGAAAGTGTTGTATCGCGGGGTGTTCTTTGACTACTCAGATTTTCGATCATGCATTCTTCCTGCACGACGACCAGTTGTTCATTCAATCACAAGTGGAGATTCTTCGTTGCTTAATAGACAATATTACTCCGAGGACTTATCCCTTTTAATTCCACTCGCGCTACTGGAATGCGACAAAAACAGCTAGAGCAGACGGCAAACGTGACGGCTACGGACGAGGCATCTATCAGTATTGGAAGCACTATGGCGCGAGTCTGGCGGCCTTTCTAGACCTCGGGAAGGCTTTCAACTACGATTTGGTGTACTACTGCGACACTGACTTGGTTTTTGTCGCAAGGGATTCCTATTATCAAGGTGGGCTGAAGAAGCAACTTGTAGTTCTTGCGGACGAAAGTGACGGCATTGATGACCTCCAAAGACAGATTATAGATGAAGGTGGTGAACAACAAAGTACCTCTTCATCATCTTCTGCAGTAGCATATCTTGAACCTACATCCAGGGCTGCCAGTAGACGACGTCGTAGGAGAAGACCACGATCAAGAAGTTCTAAAACAAGTGGTGAAGCCACTTCCTACTGGACAGGAGATTCTGGCATAGTAGTCGGAGTTGGAGAACCTGGTGTAAATGGGATATCTCAAGTGTTCCTCGACAAAAACGATCCGGGCGTACTGTGGGAGGTGTTTGATGCAGAACTACTAGTACTTGGAAGTTCATCTACTTCGAATGAGACTCGAACTAGTCCAACTTCTAGTACTTCAGAGGTGCCACCACGCAGGGAGAGGACGTCTGAAGACTACGAAGAATCTCCCACCGTAACAACTTCAGACTCGTCTTCATCTTCCGCCTCTTCAAAAAGGACTCCAAAATCCGTCATGCCTGCGATGGGGTCGTTATCCTACGACATTAGACGTGCTGTGGGTGTTTCTGATGGTCGTCGACCACGCTTCCTAGGTGTAAACGACATCCAGCAGTTGTGCGTTTTTTAAGGACAAGATGATAACAAAAGACAGTCCTATAATTTCTTCTGAAAAAGAACTCAAATCTCCTTATGATCCCTTGTGGTCCTTCTGTTTCAGTGTCTCCCTCTTCTATTTCTGCTTCCCTCTTCCTTGACCTCCCTCTGCCTCCTTCTTGTCCCATTCTCCTGCTTCTTTCCTCTAATCCTTATACCAGCAAAGTGCGAGGGCCGTGGCGCGTTCGAGGACGTATCAAAAAGACGAGTCCTACTGCTTCTCGGACTCCTTAGCTTGGTCTCCAGATGAAGTATTACTGAATTACTGGCCTCATCCCCAGACACACTTTACTCCTGAAGATTTAAGAGATCCAAATGTTAGGATCTGAGGAAGACCGGAGGAAGAGGAAGAAGATTTTCAGCTATCTCTCAGAGTGCTTACTGCAAATGTTAATGTTGCTTTTTTTTGCAGGTTGAATTCGATCACACACCAAAGACAAGTATCTGAGTTTCCAAAGAGTCAATAAATATGCCTTTATTACCGGTTACCGCTTGTTCTTCGAGCACGAAGGAATTACGACGAGAAGATATCGAGAACAAATTTATAAACTTCATTCTTTGCCAAAGATAAAGAAGAGCTGAGTTCAACTGTGTTCGCATCTTTCGGAGACAAGTCACTTGAAGTGTAAGAATGTCTGTGTGTTGAGAGAAAAAATCATGTGGTGATACTATCTGTCTATAATGAAAAATGGTGCTCCTCATTGATCCCGAGAATTATCAAAGAGTCTTGCTATCTGTTCAAGTTGTGTAGCTGGAGAGAACGAGTAGAGGTTTGTCACGCGAATGACCTGTGGCTTGGAGCACCAGAAAAGCCCTACTGTGCGAAAATTCTGTGTTAGAGTGTTGTGAGAGATATGTATACTATATGATTAGAGTGTCTCAGTATCTTTAGCGATTATTCTGTCCTGATACTGCTGTTGATCTGAGTGTGCGATCGCCTCTGGAACTGATGTCGATGTTCTCCTTCACGTACTCTAGAGCGAATCCGACCTCCATGAGCATCGTGCATCTAGTCTGAATGGTACTGCTCTGCATTCTCATCTCCATTCCCAAACAAATCTCTAAACAGGAGTTGTTTTGTTTTATAAACAAGACAGCTGAATCATTTGGTGATAATTACTGAGCTCCTTTGGTGCGCTGAAGCAATTTTTAGTGTTAGAAGATGTATAAGTAGCTTGTTTTGATCTAATTTCTGATCTGAGAGTTAGATGTATAGCTTGTTTCGATCTAATTTTTGATCTGAGAATTGTTGGATTATCACAAATTACGATCAAATTGTTTGACATCGGTCTTAGGTTCGCGCAAAACTGCTGATGTCTTTTGATTAACCCTTGACAAGATAGCTTGATGAGTTGATGATTTGATTGTTCTGGTTTGACTGATCAAATTCCTACTTATCATCTTCAGGTGCTGTGTATTAAGTAGTGCTATAGAGACTTAGTCATAGTCCTCTTCCAGATAGATGCACCATATATTTAGCAGGTGAAATTAGCACTGCCAGAAAATAGAAGATCTTTTCATGATAGCAAGCTCTAACCCTCGTTGACTTGTTTCCCCGTCCTCCTGCTTCTAATGGAGCTAGTTTAAGTGACTGAAAAAGTGACTGCAGAACTAAGTGATAATTGAAGACTAGGTGATAACTGAAGAGCTAAGTTAATTGAAGACTAAGTGATAACTGAAGAGCTAAGTGATAGCAACTGGAGCTTCCACCAGGCTTCCTATAGTAACTAACTAAAAACTGACTGATACAGCAAAGATCTGTGTCAGTTTGTTTTAGTTGTTCTACTCGATCCTCTAAGTAGTTCACCAAAGGCCCAACTGAATGAGTCAAACTAGTGGATCTCGCTCCTTTATTACAGGAGATAGTTCCTTAGAGACTATTAAGGCTCAACTTTCAATGGTCACCATTGAGATTGGAGTCACTGAGATCGAAGAGGCGACCCCTTGAGACAACAGGGGAAAACGAAGGGAAAGAAGGGGGTCTCTTCCGTTCAGCATCAGTGACCATTGAATGCTGAGCTTTAAGACTAACACGACGGGTTTTAATAGTTGTACTCCAACTTCAGGAAGGGCTCTCTCAGGTGGTCCGGCACCAGTCCATGTGATTCAGACGCCGTCGTCAGCTGCGACTACTTGTCGACAGTCTAACACCTCTACTACTTCTGTTACGGCTCCTCGTGCTCAGAATAACATCTTCAATTCAAATTTTCTTCCAGGGTCATTTCCATTTTCTTCTGTTTCCCTTTTCTTCTTGGGATCATAAGATGAAGAAATGAACTGAACCGGAAGATGAAATGAATACAGAAGATGTTTTGTTGAGATCCTCCAATTCAGCTTCTGGACACGCGAACAGCACCTCATCTTCAACGTCTTCCTTCACACCTGGTGCAGCGGCGTCTTCGTTGCTCTCAATGTTTGGGCTGAAGAGCCTGGACAAGAGTCAACAAATGTTAAGGCTTGTGGCAACCGTAATTCATCTTGAGAATGAGAAGCATCTTCCACTGATTTAGCCTCTACTAGTAGACTACCTCTTCGTTCTTGTTTAAACACGGGGAAATGAAAACACGTCTAATTCTTATTAAAAGGTGTAGGTGACTTCCAACTCCAAGATGAATATCGGAGGTAGTACGTTCTAAAAATAGTTATGAGCTCGCGTACGTATTCGGATGGTACCACGACAGCGGGTAGCAGTATGATGAACAGCAGTAAGAGTTTTCAGTCCGACATGTCGGGAAAAGAGGCGCACAGCAACATGGTGAATGTTAAGGCTTTCGCTCTCCACGACTGCATTGTATTCCTTCTATTCTGCACGTAAACACGACTTCTAACACGTCAGCATTATTCATAAAAAAAGATGATAGAGAGTTTTTCTAGGAACAAGAAAACGCGTCAAGGACGATGTACTAGAAGTTCTGCTCAAGTCTTCTAGAATGCAATGGCCAATGAATAGAAGAATGTTGCGATGTACAACTACCTAGATCTAAGAATGCGAACAATGGATCGGGTTCAGAAGCAAGGAAATCGCAACAAGTGCAAGTGGCTCAGAAGCAGATCACAGAGCGTATGGATACGAAGGATATCCTAGCTGCAGAGCCGATCGATCAAGCTGCTATGCAACGTTTTCAGGAGTGTCGTGAAATTGCTTCCAGTATGGTCCTCAGATTCGTCAACAGCCCAGACGAATTATACGAATTGTTTGAGGAGGTATTTTAAATTCAATTTGATAAAAGTTTTGAATTTGAGTCATTTGATGTTGTGGGTTTTAGTTTTACTTTTATGTACAGCATCAACGACCTTAGCATTAGGCTGGTGTTTGATTTTTAACAGTAACATGGTTGATGATCTAGTACGACCCTTTCTTAGTGGAGTGATAGCCGGAGCAGCTTTTTCCTTTTACTACGAGGCTAAGGTTGTCTTTCAGCACCATTGACATCTTAACGTTGTCTTTCACATATACTAGATTGGTAAGTTGTTTCCATCGTGCTTCTACAAAAACCATTTACACAACGAACAACGAACATGATCTTCAGCACATTCAACTATTAACCCTCACTTTATCAAAGGTGATGCCTTCCGGAACGAGGGGCAGTCACGTGAAGGCAGTGATTTTCGCGAGGAGACGATTGGACGGTAAGAGGGTGATCATAAAATTGCGTAATAAAAGCCAAAGTTTCAAAGATTTGACTGAATTGAAGGAATGGGTCATATCGATGAAATTCCTCTACTACCTCTCCGGTGGCCAAGAACAAGAACACGGCGCCGGAAGATTGAAACAGGTACTTACTCATTTTAGAAGGCTCAACATGAAGAATATTGTTTGTACTAGACCTTGATCTTGTTGTTCCTTGGTGTTGGGTTACTGGCTTTTTACTTTGAAAAGATGTGGCTGCCTTTTGAGACGCTAAAAAACACTCGCTATTTGTCCCTTTTTAACATCGAATTATGTACTACACCATCTTAGAAGTTTACCGTACTGAGGAACAAAAGATACCTGCCTGTAGTACACCACCTCTTCGACCTTCTGATTGTCGACTGCACTACACTATTAACGACAAAAAAACATGAGCGACCACTTTACCACATCTCTACTCTTCTCTACCGAAACTCCGCACCAACTCCACAGGTCGCCAACATGGTTGATGTGCTCGAGGATAGTTCGAATTTTTACGCTTGTATGGAACACGTGGAAGGTCGAGACCTCTTCGACTACTTCTTTTAAGGCTTCCACAAATTCATCTTCCGAAGTGTTGTTGTATCTTTGCCAACGTCTTTTCAAGGGGGAAAAACGTCAAAGATGCACTTCAGAATGAACATTTTTTGCCAGGTCTAATTCTTACAGGAGAAGATTTATGCACGCAGCTATCGCCTCACCTTAGTCCGACAACTGTGTCGAAGTTTACTCACAGCACTGGGCGAACTGCAATCTAGAGGACTCATTCACAAGGACTTGAAGCTAGAGAACGTCGTTTTCGATGAAGTGGAGAACTTTCAGACTGGAGAGAAACTAGTCTGCACGCCAAAACTTATCGACTTTGATACCGTACTATTATTTGTAAACTATTGATTCTTGATGACAGTGACAGTGACAGAACATGAGAAGTACTACTCATTTTAACATTCTAAGGGGGCCTACAAGAAGTCTCTAGTAAGAAGATTCCTAAGGCCGATAAGACTAGTGATGAAGTAAAAGTAGTTGCGGATCACTGCAACTCCTACTAGAAGATACCAAGCACAAAAAAGATTACGGTGTCGTTCTTGAATAGCGCCGCTTATGTATTTCTTAAGCAAAGCGGATACAACAGTCTGTGTCCGTCTAAAATCCATCCATTCTTCAACATGTCTACTTAAATCTACAATTCCCCAATTCACTTTCGCAGGTGGAAGTCTACGAGCCTGGGCGTCGCGCTTTTCATGTGCTTGGTACAGACCAGTACATTGCCCCCGAATCCTATGCCGGCTATGCGGTACCCGCCTCAGTTAAGCCTTCCCCTAATCCATCTCTTCTATAGGGATGATCCCTCTCAACGCTCAGTTGTATGCGTCCCAAATGATCCAATGCAAGGGGGGATAGACAGAGTCAACATAGATACTGTACTAGCTGACGCATACGCTTGAGGGATCGTTTCCACAGGCCGTAAGATGGACATGATTTAGGGAAGATGGACATCTAACTCAGATATGTGGGCTATTGGTGTGATCTGCTATACAACTCTCACCGGCAGCTTTCCGTTCCACCAAGCCCTTTTCAACGACCAACCCGGAGAGAATTATGTAGATCACGTGGCCATGCAACAAGTCCGGAGGAGGATGCGAATTGCAAGGATCGATTGGTAGAAGATACCTTTACAGAAATTTTTGTACGTTTCTTGGATTTGCTCGTTGTGATCGTGTGTATCTACTTACAATCAGATTGAATCTGAAAGGAAGAAAGGAAGAAGAAGAGGAACAGTTGGTCTATTAGAAAGGAAGAAGAAGAGGAACAGAAGTTGGTCTACATTTAGTCGTTGTGATCGTGTGTATCTGTGTGATCGTGTGTATCTACTTAATACAATCAGATTGAATCTGAAAGGAAGAAGAAGAGGAACAGAAGTTGGTCTATTTAGTCTGCCAGGGACGTTACTCACGTCGTTAAGCAGTGGTCGGGCCTTTGTAACTGCCGTGTCTCTATTCGGGTCACAACTGAGCCAGGCAGTTGCTTGTAGCTGCTACCTGGTTCATATGAATGAACGAATAAAGATTCACACTTTGTTCACTCCAAACTTCAAAACAGGGGATCCCGAGCATGGAGCCAGGACCCATTGGCTCGGGACTTTGTTCGCAGATGTTTCGTTTGTGAGCCAAACCGGCGAATTCGCCTAGAGGAAGCCTGGGAACATCCCTGGATCAAAGAAGGTGTCGAACAAGGACCTCCGCAATGAAGATGTTCATATTCTGAGAAGGACGGCGATCTGAGGACGAACGCGATTTGATTTGTGCACGTTCGGAGGTCGTTCGTAGTCCCTATTCGCGAATTATGTGTTACATCATGTAAGGCCATGGACGTACATCTTCACCATGTACAGAAACCAGATGACGCAATTTTTAGATTTAAGAACATTCATCATTCCGGAATTGGAATTATACATGATAGAATAGAGACGCACACTTGACAAGCAGCATGCTTCCGCTGCAGAAGCGGAACACACATACGTATGCTAATTACAATTGTACGCCGCCTTGAAATCAAGAATCCGAAGAGAAGTACCAATGAACAACAAGATATACAAATTTGAATTTTTACTAAGTCTTACTTACAGCAATATTTTCACAATGATCCTAATTTTATGATTATTACGATTACGTCGAACTCGAAATTATCGAATCGATACCAAGCAACATGTGCATGATGTGAAAGTGAGCGTATTTTTTAGTCTATTCATCACTGAATACAACTCAATTCCAAGGTCAACTAGTATTATCTGAATTCTTATCTAAATTCTTCATCTTCTCCATCGTGACATTGTCTCCGCTAGTAAAAACGAGTGCGCATATTTATGAAATAAGAGCTCGTTTACTAACATAATACTCGATGAATGAACCGAACCATACATAAATTGAAATACCTAAATACCTAAATGAAGACGAAGATCTATGCATCTTCCAGAAGTAGTATCAAAAGAAATGATACAACCATGTAGGAGTTATGTAGCTTGCTTAAGCTTATGTAGATGTAGTTCATCGCAGGATGATGCAGAAACTAACAACACCAAGTAGGCCACTACCAACACAGGTAAATACACTGGGGATGGCGGATAGAATCCTATTCCTAATACAGATTTCTTCCTCAACATATTTTCCAACAGCAACGATAGCTTTTCACGTAACTAATGTGAAGGTCTAGTCTCAGATTTTCGTGATAGCTTGTTGCAACAAGTAGTTTCTAGATACGGGTGATCCAATTTATTATGATGGAATTGAAAAACTGGATCATAGTCAACAACATGTAGATGATATTGTCATTTTCCTATGAGAATTGATTGACTTTTGTCTTCACGTCGACGTTCTTGAAACTAGAAGGAGCTCCTAAGTCGAGCACGGAAGACGAGGTCGTGTAGCAAATTGACGCACGATCAAAGAACCTCGGAGAGTGTGTTCTCTGCCAAGAGCCGCTGGGGAGCTGAATTCCGAGGACAGCGCGACACTGTCCATTTTTGTAATACTCCTTAATTCCGTGGTGCTTAGGCGTGTGCTCCACCTGCAGCCAGTTTGCGAACTGGATGCCACTGAGGTGACTCTTATAGCAGCCCCAGGTCTATATCACACAACTACTCCCCTCCTTTGCCCCTAGATTTCACCAGTTTTGAATCGGCGGGTTCGTAGGCAATTAGTGCATGGTAATAGAAGGAGGGTAATGGACTCCACCCGTCGCCGGCAGGTATACCGGATATCATTGGGATCACCCTTTTGGAGATCTTGGCCTACAAAAAAAAACAGCGGAGACCCCCTAAGTCTGAATCTAGTTGGGATGGTGCAAAGATGGGATGGTGTCAAGATGGGATGGTGCAAAGATGTACAAAATCAAGTCCAAAAATCCGAGAAATCTTTGCTTCGTTCAGAAAGGGTTCAAGAAAGGACCACGTATCCCAGAAAGGATCACGAAGATCAGAGGATAAGGCCATTTTTGTCTATTGACGCATGTTTCATTGCTTACAGGAGCGGCATCTTAGACCTATTGGGTTTAGGGTTGCCCATTAAGAAGTTGTACTACATAATAATCAGGAGCATTTTTTCGTGCCCCTAGATTCTTTTTTTTGAAGCTGCAGATTGAAAGGGACTTGGTGATTTCTTTGGCAACTACATACTTAAATACTTAGATGACTTAGGAGCAGATCTAAAAGATAAAGTTTGTTCCTTCATCTTCATCCTTTTTCTAGCCTCCACCTCCTTGTTGTGAAAATTCAAAAGAAAAGTCACGAAGGTTGGTGTTCATCATAGCTTATTAACATTTGAAAAGATGGCGTGGGGTCCTTTAATCCGTATTGTTGCTCAGGTTGTGCGCGTAGCTGGCGGCGCTGCTGGCCGCGCGGTACGTGATGCATATAGAGAAGCCGCCAAAAACCCGAAAGTCGCAACTGCTGTGGGCAATAAAAAGATGAGTGTAGACGAAGCAACGAAGATTTTGGATGTCGTGCAATCCTTCTCTGAATTAAACGCTGCTAAGTTAAGGCTTGGTGAAGAAAACAATCGGTAGAAAGAAGTGAAGCTTAGAGTTTAGACTTCAGAAGCTCATAGAGTTCCCATTTTTCTATTTTACACGACATTACGTTTATGAATATCAGCCTCGGTGCTCGACGTCGACTTTACTCAGGTCACCCATCATCCTCGGAGTTGAGCACTGCATGTTGATACCACCCTCTTCTAACAAAAGCAGGAGAAGAAGCCTCTTTGTGTGCGAAAAGTATTGCGTCAAAAGCAGAGACGATGCGAGCTATTAACCAGGTGGACGCCAAAGGCATCGGATCGCCGTATAAACCTAGTGGAATAGGATCACCGTACCCCCATCTGAGAAGACTTTGTGAACGATGGTGATGCCAGCACTAGGCGCAAGTAAGTATGAGTGGCTCCATGATATGAAGATCCGCAGCAATGGCTGATCATGTGAACTTTGCCTATATAACTGAGCTCATCTTTGTAACATATGACTTATTTTCCCAGGTACTTGCAATCGAAAGTGAGTATCGCCGAAGTAATCCTTTTGGAAGAGTTGAAGAGGCGAGCGAAAAAGGCTGCTCTCTAAGAACAAAAACGTGGAAAACGTGGTTTTATCAGGTCTTCTTGTCAGCTGACAAGCATGCGCAGCTCTTTCTTCTAGTATCTTCCACTAGCAACAACTTCCACTTAAATTCTTCCTGCTTTGTCTTCCACTTTCTTCCTATACCACGTGAAGTGTCTCCACGTGAAGTGTCTCCTCAAGGTCATCATCATGAACGGCGGTTCCTCCACTACAACAACATCTGGATTCCCTTCCAGTACGACAACAACAACAGCAGGAGGTGGCACGAGTCAAGCCAGAACGTCTGGCGGAGACCTAGACAGAAGCATGGAGGTGGTCGCAAAAACACCACCTGATAATGTTGTATGGCAGCTGGAGTATGTGAAGATAAGGAAAAGAATAGAAGTATCTTACTAAGAATCTAGTCTCGCTCTTTGTTGAAATTGAACAAAACTGACACACCATTAAAGTTTAACACCATTGAATCGCCTAACTGAATTAGCCACGACCAGTCTCTTTTTCTAATCTCACTCGATATCGAGGACGAACCCATGCGACTGCCGAGTTTCTTTGCTGCGAACATTTCTAGGGTTTCCTCTGTGGGGCATGTGACTCCAGCAGCTGATATGGAAGATGCTGTACAATTGGGGTCTCTGTTTGGAGGAGAAGGAAAGGTAGGCTTAATAGAGTTGGAGGAACGAACAATAAGTGGTAGTCGGCCTTATTTGAGTCGTGTTCCATCTGCCGCGCAGATGGCGGAACCCTCTGCATCTCCTACTGTGTAGGTCCTTCGCCTGTGTCGTTGTCCGGTGTCGCTGTCCCCTTGAAAAGCGGGGTACACCCATGGGGTTTCGTATTGAAAATCAAACTTTTCCCTCTTTCAACAATCAAAAACCTCAGGCGTTTTGGCTGCAAAAAGCTTGGAAATGGTAGCGTTCTGGGCTCGCCTGCTCAGTGTGTTCCACGACTAGAAACAGGATCGCTTTTAAATCTTTTTGGTTTAAAAAAAAAGTGCTTATTCTTTGGTATCCGCTTCGGTTTCTAGTTAAAAAGCTTTTCTTTACGTTTCAATCGTCGGATGCTGGTGGTGCTTTCCTTGGTAGTTGGCTTCGCTGGAAGCGTCGCAGGATAAGAGGACGCCCGTGCTGGTTACTGTGAAGAATCTAGTCCTGTCCAATTTTGGACAGGACTAAGAGGCGAGCGCTTCAGATTTGATGCTGTCCTTGTCCAAGAATCTAGTCCTGTCCAATTTTGGACAGGACGAAGAGGCAAGCGCTTTATTTTACTTTTTGAATTAAAAGGAACTCTTTTGAATTGAAAGAAACTCGCGGAGAGTGTCTGATCCAAAGAACAAGGCCCCACTCCAGGAGCAAAACCTTGAAGAGCCTCCGCCTCAACGGGTTAACTGATCTCCTGCTTCACAGAACAAAATCCTGAGAAAGTAAATGCAGCGACGTGAACAGCTGACTAACATAGCCAAGACACTAGCATCAGGACGCATCACCATACGGAGTTGAGTGCGCACGGCACTGCCAGGAAACAAACTGACTTTCTGACAGTGTGCCTCAGTCAGTGCTTACTTCAGATCGTTCCTTCGCAGTTACAGAGCGCAGCATAAGTGTTCAGTAGGCTTTTGATCAACAACCTAGCACACAAAGAAGCAAGACAGGCACTACTTCACGTGCATGATGATGATGCACCACGAAGAGGCTCACGCGCCTCGGTCTGTGCCTGTGAAGTAGCAGGCTAATATCGTCAAGGCGTGTGGTAGCAAGTTAGAGCTAGCGGCTACATGTCCACGCGCATCCAGATCCAGCAGAGCCTATGGCCATTGAGAAGATTGCACGCCTGTCCACTTTTTCTGAAATAATCCAAAGCCAAACGATCCAAGGGCAAATCTGTGACTGTGGAGTAGCAAGCTTCACCTTGTTGATAATTAAGGCCAAGACTGGAAGTGGCAAGCTGTTGCTGTAGCTAAAAACAAGTCCAGAGGCTTTGTGGCTAAAAGTAAGGCAATCAGTGAGGTATAATATTATTAAGAGCGCGCTCGTATTTCGCTTATATTTCTCTTCGGTGGAGTTGGATTAAGGAAGAAAAAGAATGATGGTTGCTGAGCCTGAGGTCGAGTCAATTGGTGCCCACTATGGGACCATCAAGGACAAGCTCTACTCGCAGGCCTTGACGAAAATGGAGTTGCAAATCCTGAAAGCGATCCGCAATGATATGGTACTAGTCCGCTACTTTGTGCTTTTGTGGAAGAGGACTAGATAGGGACAGTCAAAATTCAACAGTCTGGCAACCTTAGTTCGTAGATTGGTCTATAGTTGATACCGCGGAAACTTCGTTCGGTACCCATTCTCTTCATGTTCACGCTCAGGCATTCTGCACCTCAATCGCATACTGCTACTTCGCGTCAGGTTTCGCTTATGCAGGACAGTCTTCAGAATATCTTCGAGCAAGGAGAAGGCAGCCGGTGGATATCCTTTGCTGTCCTCTTCCGCTTCATGTACCGCAAGGGTGACTGGCTATTTTTGACCGAGGCGGAGCTCTCGGAGGTGCTGAGTTGCACTTTATCGCGTATGTGTGACGAGGAAAAAGTGAGAGTTAAGTGGCAAGGAGGTCAGGTTCGCCATTTCTGCCTATTCGCTATAATTTAGGGTGCGGCTGCTTTACAATACGGGACTACTCTGCCCACTTTTACAATGCTTGCCTATTCGATCCACTTTGCAAATTCTATAATAATGCAGTCTAACACTAAAATATAATGTATATGGCTAAGAGTAAGATCTTCAGCAGATTGGGAGTTTTTGGATCATGTAGATTCCGCTTTGAGTGATTATATGGGTCTGGTATCCATCTCAATCATCTGCTTGCTTGATATTGATTTGGCCGGTTTCGCTTTAGAGTATCACGCTGCAACGAATGTGACTGAGCCACCTAGTAGGCTACGTAGTTCTTATTTTGAATGAAAAACTGGACGCGTTCACGATGAAAAAATGTTGAGACTTGTTCTGACCCAAACCCAAAGTATTCGTATTGCGGGCACCAATGGCGAGCTTCTCCCTCACTCTGACTCTGTGCACTTGTATGATGGCGAAATGTTGCTAATGCTACTAAAGGCAGAGTGTGGCGCTTACTTGCTAAGAAGCAGTAAGATCATACTGGAAGAACAAGGGGGTCCGCGCCCACCTCTAGGCCCTGCATAGAGTGCTGTGCCCGTGGAAAGAAATGAAGTTTGATCTTGCTGCTCTCTGTCTCTTGTCATTTTGCGAAGATGTCCCTGCTTATCTCTTGTAAGATCCTGAATGTGAAGATCCAGCTCCAGCCTTGCTGTCTTGACCTTGAGTAGCCAGCGTTTTTGTGCTTTGATTGTGGTGGAAAATAGTGTAGTAGCAACTTTCGTGGTGACAGCTCGAGCCGCGTGTGATGTATTTCTGATCTGTGAAAGATAATCTGACTTAAGCAGGCTCTATAGGCTCTCACGGCAATGGATCACGTTGTTGGAGTTGGTCTGGTGCGTCGATCCTTCTGAATCAAATCTGTCTTGTGGTGGTTGTGATTGCATTGTGGAGCGATCCAATAAGAAAAATTCAAATGTCGCCTGCCTGTGAAGATCCTTGCAAGATCAGCCTTATCGAGTGGCAGCAGCATGAGACGATGCTAGTTTAGTGCATTATACAGATCGCGTATGCCTTCAACATGCTCAGACAACACGAGTTCCGATATAATAGAAGTAGCACAACTACAACAAGTTGCGTCATGTTTTTTATAACATCCGCAGAGGCGCCACGTTTATCTTGATGAGAATGAATACCTCCCAAGCAACTAAGTGAGTATGATGGTGGCGCTGGCTATAGTCTTGGCAACTGCCTGTGCCTACAGAAAGAGCTTAGCATGGTAATCAATATGCAAATGCAGCATCTTCCTGCCCGTAATTTTTCAACAGCACCCAGAGAACCACGCTGAGCGTTTTTTTCGGATCAATTTACAACTACTTACACCGGTTTGCTTTCCATTGTGCTCCCTATTGCTACCTTTATTTTATGAGTCTGAGTATGCGTTTTTCGTAGAGTATCTGCTTGAGTCGCTCATAGCCTGGAGCTCTACTTCTATCTTGGTGGTCGTTCTTTCTACTTTATTGCTCATGATTGTTTGCTTCACTGATGGTAGGACGCATACTAGAATTACTTTCGTGAAATACGGCAAAGCTCATATCGAATTTGAAAGCAGCAATCTAGTCTCGTTCGTCAGCGTATGACCATCCCAAATATAGACTATTAGTTATTATATCCACTACTACAACTCGTTGCACGCGTTCAAATGTGCAGAGCAGAGAACTTCGAGAACCTCGAAGAGATGGAGCTGGAAGAAGAGTCCCCGGGGCCGTCGAGTGAAGAGGAAAGTGGAGAAGATGAAGAACTGTCTTCCCTGCCATCAGTTCCTTGGGCAGCAGGAGATGACAGCGGGGTCTCCTCTTCCGAACCCGAAGAAGAGAGCTCGTCCGTGGACGAGGTCGAGGAGCCAGCACGACTACAACTACCGGACTGCCTAAAACCTGGCGAAAGAGAAAGACACACTCCAATCCAACGCTTTGGGAGGAGTCCAGAAGAAAAGGCGACAGAGCTGATGTGTTGCGTCAGGCACTTCGCGGTGAGAATGTGGAACGCCTCAGTCACCTACGAAGTCTGGCACTTTCCTCAACATCCTAAGTAAGTGCGTTTCTTCCGTCCTCTAATTCGATAACTAATTGCGACTAGTGTGCTTTTGAATACTCAGCAAGAGCAAGCACTGAGTAAATATTATTTACAAGATATTATAACCCACTAGTCGCGCACTAGTCGTTTGCATTTTGATTATGGAGGGCTGATAGATCAACATACTTACAACATACCAGGTATCATGATTTGATAACCGTGAAGCATCCGGGAGTTCAGCCAGGTGATGCCACAGAAATGCTTGAAGGTGACATTAAATTCAATCGACAGTTCCGGGACGAGGCTCAGTTATGAAGACGTTGGCTAGCTTGTATTAGATTAGTGTCATGATTCGCGGAAAACTAAATGCAATCCACTAACTAAAGCTAGCCTCTTCAGTAGTCGCAGCTTAATTAGTCTATCCATACACAAGCACGGAGCTTCATCTAGGTCCAACCATATCAACGATAGTCCCGCAGTGAGTGTCAGTGAGGCTAGTATCCACCATGCATCTTCTTCTAATTTTCGAGCTCTACCGGATTTGGCTTTACACAATCCGTTTCTTCTTCGAAAGCTTCGACCAAGTCAGCTCCTACTTGAAGACGAAAGCCAGACGAGAAGACCTCGCTACTGTCGACAGCTGCATGAAAAAGCTCAGCACGAAGGTTCTTACGCTGGTTTCCAACATAAACATTTTGAAGCACGACCCGCTTGATCATCCGACAAAGTCGATTTGGTTTGATCCGTCGACACACGATATTGCTGCATACAAATCGCCGCGTAACGTTCTGGGATTGATCTTGCTTATGTTGAGCGCTCCGCTTCTATAATATAGTTTTATATATATATATATATATATATATATATGTGTCAGTCACGTGATTCGCAAATGAGTGAATGAATGAATGAATGAATGAATGAATGAATGAATGAGTGAGTGAATGAATGAATGAATGAATGAATGAATGAATGAGTGAATGAATGAATGAATGAGTGAATGAATGAATGAATGAATGAATGAATGAATGAATGAATGAATGAATGAATGAATGAATGAATGAATGAATGAATGAATGAATGAGTGAATGAATGAATGAATGAATGAATGAATGAATGAGTGAATGAATGAATGAATGAATGAATGAGTGAATGAATGAATGAGTGAATTATTATTATTATTATTATTTCATTATTATTATTATTATTATCTCCCCCCGTTACTAAGAATGAATGAACGAATGAATTATTATGATTATTATTATTATTATTATTATTATTATTATTATTATTATTATTATTATTATTATTATTATTATTATTATTATCTCCCCCCGTTACTAAGATGAATGAATGAATGAGTGAGTGAGTGAATGAATGAATGAGTGAATGAATTTATTAATTTATTAATTTATTTTGATAATAGCGAAAGGAAGTAGATCGTACTACAACTAGCGAAAGTCCTCTAGTGAACTTGTTGTATGAGTACGTTGGGTGCAGGAACAAGTTGTCGTAGTTTCATGTGCGGGGAAATGAAAAGTCGCAGCCTCTAATAGCAAAATCGACGAAGCGCAGCAGCGGGTCGATCCGATGCGCCAGATTTTTGACGATACCGGAGTTGGCATGTACGACGTCCTCATCATGGAGCCGGACCCTCAAGCAGACCTGTTGAGCTCAGAGGTGGAAGACTCCTCATCTTCTTCCAGTGCGTCATCTCCTTCTAGTAGCAGCAATCAGGAGCAAGTAAGCACTATATCTATTGCAATTAATAAAAACGATGGTCGTATCTATATAGAAAAAACTTGCTGTCGATGTCTCGGGTCATACAACTTAGCCTTTCAGTCGAGGCCCATAGTCCATTATTACTCATTCATCTGCTCGCTCCCTTATTCTTGTTTCCATTTTTCTACATAAGCAGCATCCTTACTACAACGGCATGCCTTTCACTTCAGGAGCTTCAGAGCCCCGGCAATAGTGAAGAAAACGAACACGAGGCTGAGCACGAAGATTTCCATGAGGAGGAATATACCCATACCCACGAGGAGGAAGACACAGACGACGAGGCGGGCGACCTTCTTCGTGCAGAAGACCAATAAGTATTGACGAGGTCAAATTCAAAACACTTTTTCGAGGCTAAAACTTAATACATAGTGCAAAAGATTCATCGTCGTCGTTGGTCCGATAAAGAAGGCACACCCATCGCTTTGACTCAATCGATAGAACATAATAATAATGAAAATGAACAAGTTAATCCTAAACGCTCAGTATAGGTCTAGCACGTCAGTCAATCAATCGATCTAAAATCATTATACCTTCGCCAAAGGGTGTAGCTGTAGACGAAAATCAAGCTCAAGATCAATGCATATAGATGGGGTTAGCTCTATCGTCTAGTTGGAGGCGAACCTTTGAGATGACCACAAAAGTGACAGTCTACATCAAGATCAATGTGGTACTATAATCAATATTCTGCTATAAGAGGACTGCAGCCAAAGAAAGAGACCCGAGGTCACAACTAGTGAATTCAGTCCCCTCAACCAACGCGCTCTGCAGCCACATGATTCCCCATCACCCATTCAAGATTACTCAGACCTCTTTCTGATTTGTATCGTCTGACAGAGAGGAAAAGGCGCCTCTACCTCTACCATACAGTTACAGCGAGGCTCAGCTTCGCAATGTGTAGGAGCAGCGCCGCGCTGAAACGCGTTGTCTATGATGATGATCATGAGAATGCTTTTACTGCAGAAGTAGTCGAGTAGAATAAATTCATCATGCAGAAAATATCGTGACAGGGAGAGCAACTAGACCTAGTCAAGTAAAGCGAAAAAGCGTGGGCCTGATGCAGAAAAACAAGGAGAGAAAGAGAGGACAACTGGAATCATAAAAAAGGAGCGATGTCAGTAGATGATTGAAGATATGAGGTCGGCAAGAATTCAGACTACATGCTGTAGTCTAGCTTGATGAAACTGCTGACGCAGTACAAAAGTTGACAGCGAAGCTGAGCAGCTCCTTATCGATGAAAGTGAAGGCCTCGCTAATTGAATTGTGCGATTAGTAATTGACAGATTTGCTAGTACTCGCAGTGTGTACTTGTTCTACACCTACAAGACAGCAGGACGCCGCTAGTACTCATAGTAATATTCTGCTCTACAACAAAATCATGCCGGGAGCTCCATTGCGGCGGGCCGGAGGGGGATCTCCCTTATTCTCGGCAGCGGAAAAGCCTGCGAAGATTAAACTTGATTTCGATCATGAAGACGGTGGCTACCAGGCTCGGAAGCGTGAGGAGAAAGAAGCAGAGGAGAGGCTTCTTGCTTCACAGGACCGGCGACAGGGGCTATATTTTTCGGAGCTTCGGAAAAAAGTATATTGATTTTAAGTGTAAGATAAGCTTTTTCTTATAATATTATATTAAGTGCCACCAGATTTAGAAACCTTTGCTCATTATGAGCACGGGTCTCTATTTCTGGTACTTATACTCGTAATCGTAGACTTGGGCAACTCCTTATAGATGGTGATCCTCATGTGATTGACTTTTTTAGTCGTTTTGCGCTGAGTAAGAATATGTTGAGCATTCTCGTATCTTCCTGCTCCTACGTTGATCTTATGGAGCTTTTTCTTACTCGTCTATCATCTTCTTATCGTGAATTTTTACAGCAAGCAGCCCTCTTTGAAAGCGAACGCAGTGTCAACAGAGGCAGCATCTATCGGGAATTGAAGCGCAGTACCGACGGTCAAAGTCATCAGCTTCATCCTCGCAGGCTGTCGGTAGGGCGAGGAGGAGGGGCTGTGGATCGGATTGCTTCAGATGCTGACATTTTAGCAGACGTTGCGGTTGACGTGCGACGCCGGCGCTCAAGTCAAAGGCTAATGTCTTCACGTCCATCTCAATCAGGTCGATCGCCGATGAGTGAAGCTAGTAGTCGGGACAAGGACAACAAGAAGGGGACTCGCGTATTTTCTTCGTCGAGGATTAGAACAAACAGTCTTGCCGCTGCCGGCCAGGACCAGGAGTCCGGAAAGGCTGGAACTGGCGATCATCCTCTGCTTGATAAAGGTCTTGGAGCTGCTCCTGTTCGTGGTGGTGTTGAAGTTGCTGGTGCGTCTCGTGTTCATGTTGTATCTGCTCCTGATTACCGCCACAACCACATCTACAACACCAACAACAACCATCTCCAGAGTACAGCTCTGCAGCTTCGGATGCAAAGCTACATGGCTTTCGAGAGGTTCTTTGCAGTTCCTACGATCAAGATCGACCCCGAATCCATCAACAGTTCTGAGCAGTGCAAGCGTCTTATGGAAGTAGTGCAGTAGATTTTTCTCACATCTTTCATTCTTCCCGGGACACTTGATTCATTATAGCTGTTGTTCCACTTGTAGAACTAGTTCTAAAAAAGTGCGTCGGTTCTCTAGTGCCTAGATAAACGCACTTGTAGCAATGTTGGGCAGTTATTAACATTAGTGTGGCATCAACATCAAGTAGAATAGGCTGGGGCGATGCTGTGGCTACTTTTTCTTGTTTATTGAGCATGTACTTATTGTCACGCTGTAGTCGTGCTCGTAAAAAGTATCTTCTTGATGAGCCGTCTTTTCTCTTATTCGTGAACGGCGGAGATATCCGAGGAAGCAGCAGGAGGCTCGCGACGCACAGAAAACAAGCAGACAGCAGCGTGGTGTTCCAGGAGACTGGCTATCTCCAGCTTGGGAAAACAATGTAGACCCGGACGACCGGCTTTTGTTCTGTTCACCAGATACCCCCGGTTGGGAAGACGCGATGATGGAGGTGGAGGTATCGCCAGTGCCAAGCAGTCCAGTACAAGGTCGAGGCGCGCGCACAGTTAAGGTTCGAGATATTCATTAATTTTATGCACCTCGGCTTCATCTATTTTTTCTCAGAAATGCGCGACGAAGATCCTTGGCATGAGTTATTTTTATAGTTGTGGTTGTAAGGGAGTTTGTTATGTCTAATTATGAGGCGAGACGGAACATCAGTGGCTATGAGTACTAGCATTTCTACCACTAACACCAACGCTATCGTCGCCTGCACGGAGGAAGGGGCCAGAAATAAGAGCATTCGTAGTGTAGACGAACAAGCCGATCACGACGACCTTCACCTTCAGCAGGTGCATAACTTCGAGGACACAGGACATGATAAGGGGGTAGTGCTAGCCGTGGAAAGTAAGAAAGAACTCGCGCCGCGGTCGTCCGGCATCACAAAATGCGTAGTGCCGCCGCATTTACTCATCAAAGCAGAACAAGGCTGCGCGTCTTCATCGGGAATATCAGACGCATTGGTAGTAGGGCTTGGGACTAGTGATCCCATTCCCGTTCCCATGTTACCTCCATCTCTTGTGGGAGTATCTGGAAATGGCAACAGCAATGAGAATCGCGAGGAGGTGTCGCAATTACATGGAGGTGACGAGAAAGACGATAAAACTGCATGTACAAGCGCAGCATCTTCATCCACAACTGCAAGTGCAACTACAGTAGTGCTCACGTCGAAGAGTATCCAGCCTCGCCGCGATCTAGCACAGATCTCGAAGCGTGTCGATCTCGATGGCGGTACCGTGGAGGCTGGTTCTGCAGCATGTCAAGCTGCAGATGGGTTGGCCCAGGGGCTTAACCTTAACGTTCCCGTAGGGAACCAGTCAGTCTCTTCTCTACCGGTTGGAGGGGTAGAAGTAGATGAACATCTTCATCCTGGGTTTGGGAAGGAGGTTGCGCTTGGGTTGGATTCCTTGGAGATGGTCATGGATTGTGCTGCGGACTCTGGAGGTGGTGGATTCTTTTCGGGCAATGAGGATGATAACAACAGCAACAACGTGTTCGAAGAGCTTCTTTCTCCACATTCTCGACAGCAGCGCCGAAAAAAAGCTGCGGATGATGATGCGGCGATTCGATTTGCCGCGGTGAGGTCTCATACGGGCATTTATGGGATGATCCCCGAGGACGGTGAAGATGATGAACTAGAACTAGATGAAGAGATTTGTGACTCCTTCCTGGGGGAAAGAGAGAGCTGGCGCCTGCCTAAGCTTCATGCGAGAAGTGTGGCCGCAGAAGTAGAACTTGAAGTAGCACCAGGAAAAGCATTATCTTCAGCTTCAAGCTCGTCTTCATCGTCGCACAAGCGCGCAGTCAGTAGTACTAGCATAGGAGAACAAGCACATATGAAAGAGCCGAAACGACGACGAACCACGACTAGCAATGCAGCAATCGATGATGGCGGACATGTGCATCCAGATGCTATTCCTCAAGACCAGTCCGACCTCGGTGGAGGAGCGGCGAAGTGTAAGCTTCTGACTTCGTCTGTGCGCGAATTTGTCAGCAGCACTGCAGCGGAACGACAATGGTGGCGCACCTCTGCCCTTTTTCAACAGGAAGTGATACCACAATCGAAGAGAACGTGTGTGGAGTACCTCGCGGCTGCGGTAGGCGAGTTTGAAGGCATGCCGGCACCAGGATTCTGCAGTGGTTTGTCTCAAGCGAATCTCATCCATCTGCACATCGAAAGTGTGAATGCTCTTCACATCTGGAAGAAAGTGCGACAGGCTATGGCTTCTGACAAGGTCTACGGAGCATACGGCACGGAGAAGGCGACTATGGACAAAGTAGAGCGAGCCCTTGTCAAGATCAGCGACCAGATTAGAAGCAGAAAGAATCGCTGCGTGAGTAGTTGTGCTTCTTCTTCTGGTGCTGGCGCTTGTAGTAGTGGCACATTGGGGGACTCGCAGTCCTCTGCGGCAAATGAGCAGCATAGCCTGGGATCCAAGGAAGCGGCACGAGCCGCACCAAGCAGAAAGGACAAGCGAACGTCGAAAAAGGATAGACGAGTCAAAAAAGCAGCATGGAAGTGAAGGACTAGAAGCATGCTCGTGCAAACACGTGCTTGCGCAAGTAGCTTTAATGGAATTAGTGCTAGTGTCCCCGATGTCGGCCTAGTTATATTACGCTCTTCGCTTTCTACTTCTAGTACTAGTTGCAAGCTTTCGTTAGGTAGTGGCTGGCAGTGCGTCTGCCTTCTTTCGCGTTCACAACTCACGCTACACAGCAGGAGCGACGTGTCCTATTCTTATTTGTTTTTTCAGGGTAAGTAATGCGGATCTTGAGGCGCTTGCTGTTGCTCAACAGTACGCTTGTTGCAGAATAGACATAGAGTCCATCACCATCTTCAGTATTCATTAGAAGTTGCAACTGCATTCGTTTGGGCGTGGGCCTGCCTTTCCCGTTTTTGTATCTTCTGGTTGTCTTTTTTGATTTTTACGTTGTATCAAGCGACGCTAGTACTACAACTACTACTACATGCATAGACGACGAGGAACGCAGAGTCGAAGTGACTAGTCAGCTACAATTAATGCGAGATAAATGAAGAATGAACGATAAGGGTGTGCTGATGTGGTCTCATTATAATAAAATAAACGGTGGCGTGTAGACTATTGGCCTAAGATATTTCATATAGTAAATAATTACTCATCTTCTTATCCAGACCGGTGCAGCTCATTCTCTTCACCAGTTAGCCACCCAATCTACACCAAGACAGCACGACAATGCACATTAAGCTGACAAGTCCAAGCGTCGGCCTGGTACTACGCGAGTATGTCGATAAAATAAATGAGTGAGTTGGAGTTGCAAACAAAATCCTAGGAGACTTTCGCATCTATAATAAATAATGTATTGTGCTTTTTGTTGACAGCTGAAGCAAGATAGCTAGCACCAGGGCAAGACTCACTACAGGAGGTGCGAGAACATTTAGAGCTTCGGGCCCACATGGTGAAATGTGTGAATCTGATACGTAATGCCTGAGCCTACTACGAAACTAGGTGCGTTCTTGTCGATAAAAATAGCTAGAACATCGTGAATGGTTCTCAATGTGGAGGCAAGTCCATCTCTACCAGTGCTTTAGCACGCGTGGTCGGAACACGATCATCAACATCCATAAGGAGTCTCCTTCACTAGTAAGTGCACAGAAGATGTCGATGGGGACCCTTACTCACATAATAAATGCACTCTTCTATTGCACATCCGAGGGGTTTGACTTTGAAGCCCACTTGAATTTGAACTAGACGAAGCCATTTAATGCAGAGCCAAAGGCGCACTGTCCCATTATAAAGGGCGAAGCTTTTTAAGGATCATCTCCATCTGCAGGAACAGCCTGCTGCGTCATTTTTGATTGGCGAAGACTATAGATTTGCCACCGTGGGACTCTGCCTAGAAGAGTGCTTGTTCCGCCGTCTGCGCGAGCACAGTTACAGCATCAGCAAGGAGAACGGCCTGACCTTGAAGTTGAAGAAAATGAAGTCATTCCGTTTTGCAGTACCACGAGGAGAAAGAGAGAATGGAAGCGTGTGCACGTCTAGGATCCTCTTTTTTCTGAAATCTCCAAATCCAAAGCGCGACTGAGTGGCGTGGAAGATCTGCCTGAGAGTTCATATGCACATGAGGACGAGGGATTTCTGAATGACGGCAAAACTACATCAATTTCAGTATAGTGCTTTCATAGTTAGAGGTAGCAACTTTGTCATTCTTAGATTCTTACACTTGCGTCTCTCTTCATCAACTCCACTCTCATCGAGGTCCTTCCCCTCGCATCAGCATCTCCATGACAATCACAGTCCAAAACTAAAACAGAACACACCCAGAATAGGAAAATAAAGAAAGTGAGAGAGTTTCGTAAGTTTGTAAGAAGGAGGCCTCTTAGACCGACAGCAGCTTCTTGTGCAATAAAGAACGATCACGAGCGAAAAGAACAACTACAACAACAAGATCCGTCGTCATGCCGTGCCTTTCGAAAGTGCAGATCGATCAGATCGAGAAGCTCGATAAGAAAGTGAAAGGTGCTTTTAACTTTTTCGCAATATGCACGATGTGTTACTTCCTCTACTACTTCCTGTTCCTACTATCGGAAATTTGTGGTAGTCCTTATCTTGTGCTTGTTCGTGGGAATTTGGGCCTCTTTCGTTGAAGTGTTTAGATTTATTTCCAGTTTCATCTTAGGCGTCGTACGTTCGCATTCTAGCAATTTAACGCTGCAACTGTTTCATCCGTCATTATTTGCATAAGAGCATGCTTGTGCACTTTTCTTCTCCTATCAACCAATGAAGCAACAGGTTCCCCCTCCAGAAAGGGACAGAGCTCTTATCCGGGGTCCTCCTTCTGAAAAATCTAAACACCATAATCTAAATCTCAACCTAGTTACTCTAAATCGCTCTTCCTCTCAGAATCTTTGTCTCTTTCCTGTTCCTCAGGTTTGCAGTCGACTAAGGAAATTTTTTTCTGGCCGCTGCTTATTTTGTGTACCGCAATCTCCTGTCTCATCGGAGGCCGAGAAACTGTACTTTGCGTTGTTTTTACATCTTCTATTGGGCTGTTTTGTTGTTTGATGGTACTGTGTCGAGTTGCAGTCTAAATCTTATGTGCTGCTGTATCTTCGAGAAAGAGTCGCCTAGCTAACAGATTTCAACTCTTCCTCATAATCTCCAGCGTCTCTCTCTACCACCCATCTCCACCACTCTCCTCTTACAGCCCGAGCGTCTGGCTACTACGTTAACAAGCCCAATTCGCGGAATTTTGATGCTCCTCGCTTTACGCCCCACCCTTGCGCGGTGGATTTCGCAGCTCGATAAACTCTTATGGCTGGTCTTCCGTGTTAGTAGAAAGTAGTTGTAGCCAGCTCGTTGTAGTGCAGGACTTTATTGCACTCCGTCAAGAATTTTCGTCATCTATAACGCCAATCATGTCCATCTACAAGTACAACAACACTCTTTCCAACAGCAGCAACTACCGCAAGGTCTTGGAGCCATCACCTACACCCTCCACAAGCACAACGTAAAAAACAACAACGGCACCAGCATCCTCTAACTTGTGAAAATGCAGTTGGCTTTTGTAATGCGATGCTGGCTAACTCGCCCCCGGTGTCGTCTCTCGAGTTGATTTATGAAAAGGTAAACCCTACATTTTTGGTTTAGATATTTTAGACTTTCAGTTTCCAACTTAAGGGTCAACCACTTCTTCGTCTTCTTCTTGTTTCGTCGAGCAGTTTAGAAGTACGCTTATCTTGACTCTCCACCTTCGAACTCAAATCTTTGAAAATCAATCCAGCTGACTGCGCGTTTCGAGTTATACTTTGACGATGTGGATTTGCTTAAGCCGGACGTTGTCTTTATGGCTTCCACGTCCACGCTGCACTGTGCAGGTGCGTCCTTCCTTGGTCGTTTTCCAACGGGAGACAGAAAATCGGCCAAGGATATCCTGGCCCTGACGAGTGCAGCGCTGCGGCCTCTAATACATCGAAGTTATTCGAAGATATCGGAGTCACTGCGCTCAATATGAGCGTATTTGAGTGGGCGTGTGCAGGCTGCAGTACTGCTATTACTCCTACTACTACTACTACTACTTTATATTGCTTTTAGATTTCTTTAGATTTCTGATTGTGGTAGAAGTCTTCTGTTCTAGGTGTGCTAGGCTCTTTGTAGTTTAGAAGTATGCTTGACTTTGATGCTCACACTTCTGCAGATGATTCTTCTTCTATCACCAACCCTAACTCCACCACCAAATAATCCATCACGACTCACTTCACAGAATTCGTGCACGAACGTTTCCAAGCGATGAAAACAGAGAAAAAATTGGAGTTATGGATAGCTTGACGCATCTTTCGTCTGGTGGTTTGGAGTAGTAGTTTCCATAAGGGTGGTTCAAAATTAGCGTGACATTGAAGAAGAGATTAGACTTGAAAGTATGCGCTATCGCTAATGTCGGAGGCGCGTGAAAGGGCTAAGGAGATGCATAAATTGGGCAAGAAAACCCGCAAGTTAGAGCAGAGGGCCCGACGTTATGGCACATCATAGTGGTAGAATCTTGAGGAGCTTGACAGTGTAACTGTAAGTTGTAATGAGACTGGAAGTAGACGCATTAGTGTATAGGAGCCTTGCTACTAGAATTATGACGCCACTGCTACCCCCCGGTCGACAGCACCCTCTTCCCTCACCCATTTTGCACTCTTATTGGAACCGCGAAGTAATCGACCAACTACGCAAGGCCGCTCGTGTGGATGACCAAGTGAAGAACGAGAACGACGCCCCGCCGCCGAACAAGCTTGCGGAGTTGCGCCGCGAGTACGATGAAGATTCGGATTCCGATTCGGATAGTGATAGTGAAGCCGATTACAAGTTTTTGTCCTTGGAGAACGCGAAGAACCAGACGGTATAATTTTTAGAATTTGAGTAGCTGGGGTTTTATATCTTCGAACATGCAGTGATAGAACAAGGCTAAGCTATACCTATACGTATACCACAACAATGATCACAGATTCTGTTAGCCCAAGAACTCACTCCACGTCCCGCTTCTCTACTCTTCAACTAATCTTCACCTACACAAACAGATTATTGGGTCCGCCGCTGCTAACAAGTTATGACCATTGTAGTCAATGTCTCACTCTCATCTTCGTTATCGTTTACTTGTACTTGTAGGACTACTTAGGTAGTAAAGGCAAGACCCTCACCTTGTAGCTGTAGGCCATGTGGTTGTCAAGCTTATGCTCCTTGAAGTAGTATATCATAGATTTCCAAGCTCAGCCCCAACTGGTGCTGCTAAGATTTGCCGCATCTTCTAACTTGCGTCACAGCGAGCATGGCTGCAAATTTTTTCGTGACCCCGCCTGCGGTGGTGAAGAAAGCGGGAGATATCGAAAAGTATTTTTTTTTGAAAATTTAGATTTCGTAGAAGTTGGTGTACATGGACATGATTAGAAGTCTAGTGATTGCAAGAACTCTTACCACGATACTCAGCAACAGCAACATGATTACGATTTTCAGAAGATTTCTATCCAGCCTCTACTACATCCATCTTGTCTTATGGCACTCCTTGAACTACTACCACAGAACCCCAGACTGCGTAGACGCTGAGGCGGTTTTTCGTGACGCCTCTGCCAGCGAGAGGAAGAGCCAGGAGATAAGCGACAAGCTGCGAGCTTTGGAGCAGCTGAAGAAGGAGATGATGGCCATGAAGACCACCTACGGCCGAGAAGATGAAGACATGGTCGACCTGGCTGATGATGAAGCCACCAGCAAGAAGAACAACAAGATGGGCAAGAAAAATAACAAGCCCAAAGCGAAAGGAGCCAGCAAGCCCAAAGCAAAAGGCAGCACAACCGCAAGCGCATCATCCTCCAGCTCCAGCTCCAGCAGCGCCGCTGTATCCTCGTCCGCGATCAGCAAGTTGCCGGTCAAGAAGACGGCGGTCAAGAAGAAGACCGTGAAGGCAATCGAAGAGAAGTAAGGGGTGAGTTTTTTTAGGGGTGTGTGACCTAGGGTGTAGGGTTTGTTCTGTGATTTAGAAGTCAGGCACTTGTTACCACTCGCTGCGCGAGCACTTTTTGTGATAATTGGACATGGAACTCGAATTCGCATCCTTTCATAAAACTTGTCTTGCGCTACAGAATATCTATTAGGTTTAGGACGGGAAATTTTTCTCCAAGACTTCTACACCATTAGTTTTTTGTTAGTATCCAGCCAGCAGTGAGAGAGGTGATTTTGCTTTTGATTTTCTTGTAGAGATCGAGACTCAACGCACTTTTTTTTCCATATCTTTGAGAGATATGCAAAGAGCAAGCTACTAGTCAAAGCTATTGAGAGTGTTTCATCTAATTCAGGCAGACCCTGTGCCCTAAGTACTTGTTCTGGGGAGGAGCTATAAGGAAGAACTATTTTGGGATGTAAAGAGCTGTACTATCTACGAGAAGGCATTGATGTATTTGAATTTCATGAATTCAAAAATCAAGTAGTAAAAATAATGTCTGCTGAGTCGAATTTGGTTACCCTCGGGTGAGTCGAGCCTCAGCAGGCAAACCTACCATCTTTCGTGAAAATTTTGCCCGGTACCGAGCTTTCCCTTGTTTGATTAATGGTGACTAAAATGAAGGAGGGCTTCCTGCTCTGGTAGGTGACGACCACCATCAATCATCGTCATCGTTGTCATTCTCCTCCGTTGTTAACCTGATTGCCTTTTTGACTGTATTCATTATCAACAACTACAATCGGATTTATAAATTATTTAATTTTATTTATTAAGAATTTGATGGAAGTAATAATTGATATTAGAAGTTGTACAATTTTTGAAATATTGTTGTAACACATAAGTTCTTTTTTTACAAATATTACATGTTGATAATTTTTATGAATACTTTGCACTAGTATTCGCGTTCTTAGATTTTATTTTAACATTGAATTGGTAACTTCTTTGGAGATAGGCTGCCAGGAAGATGGCAACTAGATCTACGACACTCACAACGAGCACAGTTAGTATTTAAAGATTTTACCAATTTAATTATTGTTCGATGGTGAAGGATCGCGATTCTTGCGATCCTTGCCCTAGCGCGTATCTTGCGTCCTTGCTTCGTTTTAGATACGCGTTCGAGATGGTAACGGTATTTAGAACCAGAAGGCTCGTCAATGTTTATGAAAGCGTCTCTCTTTGTGTTGCATCTCCTTGTCGATAAGCATGAAGTAGATTGACGGATAGAAGGAATACCAGTGAGGAGGGAAGCAATGGATGAACATAGTGCTCATTTTATCTTAGAATATATTCCCGCAAGTTTTCTTACGTAGCGATCGATGACAAGGCGTGACTGAGATTGATACCTACAGAAGCACCGCTTACCAATGAACACATAGACACTTCATGAGGAGGATGGAGATCTTGTGCGTTGTCTATAATCCGGACGCCTTTGAACTGATCGCTTCGCTTCTTGCTGTGAGAATTGTTTGACCCATGCAACAAACAGTGGCGCCATGCAGCAAAAACAAGACCACAGCCCGCGAACGCGATAGAAGCAGGCCCTTTCTTCGTTTCCGTCAGAGGACGCATTAGCGCCAGACAGCTTTATCTGCACGCAGGACGCTCTTAGATATCCAGACCTCTGCCAAAGGGCTCGGCGCTGAGTGTCTTTCTATCAGATCCCGGAGCGACAGTCTACTACAGCGGGGCCCCGTCAAGTTTTCGGATGGATCTGCCTCCTGCTCATTCGTCTTTGAGTAATTTCGTAGAGTCTCTGCTCACACGACGGCGATCGGAAAGCTTGCAATTGAAATTGTGCTTGTAATTGTAGTCGTTTGCTGTAACCAATACTGCGCATTGTCGTGCTCTTCTCTAGAGTTATATCGAAGAAGGTAGCAACTGCAACAACAAGGGCAACGTGACCCATTTCAGGCAAGTGACCAACATCGTGCAAGTATCATCGCCAAGGATGTAGGCTGCGTCTCGTCTTTCTGTGGCTTTGCGTGCTGTGTCACGCGTTTGCCAGCTTTGTTGCTGCTTCTGCAGTTTCGTTTTCGTGGGAGTCTCCAGAATACAAACTGAGCGGAAGGACTAGCTCCTCCGACCAGTGCTATTCCGTCGCCGTTCGGAAGAAGTCTTTGGTGAAATAGATTCTTGCTGCTTTGGAGCGTCACGAATTTCAAACGAGTTCGATTACACCAGCAGCTTTTGCCTTGGCAGCCTCTCAGCGTTTTCCTTGGCAACCTGTCGCCGTCAGGTGCATACGTCTTGACCTTACTAGCCGCTCCAGATTCTGCGGCGAGACCTTCGCTTTCTTCACGCAATAAGACGCTGACGCGCTTCATGAAGCAGCCAGCTTCCCAAAATGGGAAAAGGTTCCAAAATGAGCAAGAAGAGGACGGGGAAGCCTATCATGAAAGGCAAACCGCCGCCGAAAGACAAGATGAAACGGGCCAGACGTCGCCGAAGACGGGCCGAGAACAAGGAGAGACTCCTTCCGCCGGAGGATCAGGAAGATGATCTACTACACGACGCTACTTCGTCTTCTTCTAGTTCAAGCGATGGGGGTGATGGTCCTCTTCCCTCAAAGAATACCAGCAAGAAGAAGAAGAAAACTAAAAAGAAGAAGAAGAAAAACAAGAAGAAACTCAGTAGCTCGTCATCTAGTGGCGACGAATCGGACGACACTGACGAGAGCGCGCAAGAGCTTCGCCTTCTCGCTCAGAATCCTCGACTTACTGCTCGGGCCAGATCTCTATTGCTAGAAAGCGCACTGCTCGACGAAGAATCGTCCTCCTCGTCCAGTTCCACCGGGAGCAAGGGGAAAGCTGCGTGGCCTTTCGATCAGGGTGCGAAGGCCGTGGAGATGCTTATGGAAGAGAGCAAGAAACGTCGTTACTTTTCCAATGATGGAATTAGATACTTACTAGTCACCACTAGCACTAGAAATCGCCGGGTGCGTCTATGTATAGCTTTTCGCCGCGGTGTTAAACGATGGGGAGACAGCTAGCGCTAGCTTTTTTTGATGTAGATAGGAAATGGCTGAGGTGCATGAGTACGGCTGTGCTGACTGTGTGCAAGCTCCTCAGCGTCGACCTATGGCGAGAAGGGACTTACTTGCTAGCGCAAACGTTCCGTCTATTAGCAGACTTCAGCTTATTTATTTACTGGCACGCTAGCTATTGCACCATAGTCACTGTCACACTCCCCGACTTTACTTTCATACTTTTAGCGGCTAGAGGAGGTGGCGGCGGTGGTGGAGATTCGTCTTCTGATGGTGAAAGCATTGGGTCAGGAGGTGAACACCTTGAGGAGAATTCGAACGTCCAGGACCCTCGTAGTGGAGACCAGATTCATACGGAGAACGTGGTGGCGGTGTTGAAGTGGAGAGGTTCAATTGATGTGCAGATTGAGAAAAATTGCAAGGAGACGCGCACTTGTGCCATTCAATACCTGAAGACGGTTGACAACGGTTGGAGAATGGTGACCCCGGTCGGCTTGGGAGACACAACCATGGAAATAACTGACAAGCCTGCCAGCGGCGGCAATAATTAAGGCTAGACGCTTTTCATTTTCGTGATCTCTTTCAGTTTCGTTTTCATCTCGAATTCATTCATTGCTGAGTGGTGTTTTGTAGTATAGTCTCAGGACATTGACGAGTGTCAATAGGTGGCTCGTAGCTCTAAAATTCATGCAGGGAGATTCTGAAGAGAAGCATCGCGAAGCAGTACCCCGGCCTACGACATACCAACATCTCGGTGAAGTTTTTTTTCCAGTACCTTCTTCCATCACGGTGCCGCCAATGGAAGAGCAAAGGCCTCAAGCACGGAGAGCAGGACTTGTTCTTTGGCAGAATGCAAGCTTTCCACCCATGGGTGGACGTGCTCCTGGGTTTTGCGCCTCACTCTGACGTATTCAGTGGAAAAGCTCGATACTTTACATTATGGGAGGGTGGTCTCGCTTCGTCTCTTGTTTCGAAATAGGTCAAGACCGTTGGACTTCCGGCCTCGGTTCTATCTCCGTGTCGGTTCTCTCTTCCAAAACACAGGCGGAGAGCTTGCAACCTGTTTTAAATTCACCGCCTTCGAACAGTGTGAAAGAGTAAGAATGTACTCCTTATTCTCTAATACCGGACTCGGATGCAGCGTTTCAGGTCTCCATGGCAATGTACCGCAAGAGGGCGACGAACGACTGGAATCCGCACTCGGATACAAAGTTGTATCAGAAAACTCGCGTACTAGCTGACACGAATCCGGCCGTGTGTACAGTGACTTCCGCCATCGTGTATCAGTTCTGGTCTGTGTTGGAGGTCGTCGGCGATTGTGTGGGCCGTCGGTTGGACGACTTGGACGAGGAGAACACGGCTGAGGGTATTTCTCAGCTTGTTCAATATTTTGTGTTTAGCTTTAGCCTTAGGGCGACCGCTTTGCCCACAGCGATACGCCGGGGGACAGCGTTAAGCGGGTCGCGATTGCTGCCCATTCTCGCGCAGCGAGATGGCCCAAGCTTTTGCCCGCTGCTGGTTGTAGGGCTTTCGATCCCTCCCAGGATTGGGGAAAGACAGCAGGGGAGAGCCCGCGGGTAAGGGCGGGAGCCGAGAGGCAGCTGCCTCCCGGCCCATGCGTGCGCGGCGGAGAGGTGGGCGCGCTTGTGCTTCAACTCGATAGATGCCCGGCAGGCCATGACGCCGCGGGCCGGCGCGCACGCTTGTGCCTGTGGCTGTGAGTCGATAGGCGCCCGGCAGGCCATGACGTCGCGAGGCGGCGCGCGGGGAGCCCGGCTGAGTGCAAACTGCAAAACGCCAGCGGAGCCCGAGAGGTGACCGCGCGGCTGGTGATCGATGGCAGTGGTGACGAAGCGGATGCCATTCATTGCCCAACAGTTGCGGCCTAGCTATGGCGTTAAAATTGCGGCGGCCTACAACGACGTGCGCAAGGTTACGCGCGCGTGATGACGCTGCAGGTGGCTCCTTCCTGGACACTGCGAACGCGCATGCCCGCAGATTGGCCGGGAAACTCTCGAAGACACTCGCCGGAGGTCGACAGGTCCGAGCTGAAAAGTTTCGCGAGCCGGGAGTGCTAGAAATGTGCCTGCTTGCGTCGCGCTCTTTCTGCCCGCTGTGGCAAGACCGCAGGAGACAGCGCCGGCCAGCTGTAGACAGTAGCCTCTTCGAGTTTGGCGCTCCGCGTCATCTGAGCGGAGAGACATCGAGACGAAGCATTCCGGTTCCGAAAGGGACAACGCGGTGAAGAATGGCAGAAAATAATGGCGAAAATGGTCACCCGACGGTGATTTCGCAAGTCTCCCTTGACGAAAATTTCGCAAATCGACATCGGCGTCGACAGCGACATGGGCAGCGACATGGACCAGCCGCAGAAGCTCGTAAACCCAGAGTGTCACAGGGGCGTGGTGCTGGGAGCACCATATTTTCGTGCTTTTTGTTTGGTTTGTTTCTGGTTTGGGGTCTTTGGATCATCTTCGAGGTTTTTGCTGGTTCTGCCCTATGTTTCGGGCTGTTTTGTCTCTGTCGTATGATGGCCGGGCAATGTCGTGCCATTTGCTCCGCCAGCAGGGTAGGCCGCTGCCTGCGGATACCACCAGGGCGGCTCGGCTCTTCTTCTTTCTCGTTGTTGTGCTTGTAGTTGTATCGCGGCGGGCTTCGTTCTTGTCTATCGTAGGCTCCACCGTCGTGGGCAGTCGCGCTTCCTGGTGTGTCTCTTGTCGGTTCTTTTTTCTGCTCGTTTTGTTTTCGTTTTCGTTCTTGTTGTTGTTGGGTGGTGTGCAAGCGCCAAGGGGGTGGCTGTGGTTATTGCTTATCGTGTTCTTGCTTAGTCGCTCTAGGTCTCGGCTTGCGTTGTCTTTTTTCGGTCGTGTCAGTCTTAGTCGGCTGCGTTTCAGCTTCCGCCTAGTCGTTACCGCTAGGAAATCAGCCCACACCCACCTCACCAGTCGGCATTTCAGATCAGTTCTTGCATCAGCTTACACCTAATCGTCTTAACAACAGGCTGGGAATGGTCATACGAGTACTCGCCGCTTGTTGAGGCCAGTCGAGCAACAACGAAGAGCAGGGACGAGGGGCTATCAGTCACAAACGAGCGAGACCGCTGCATGGCTCACCTGGCTTGGTTTCTCTTGTTGAGGCGCTTGCGGTGCCGGTCGATGATGGAGGACGCGTTCTATGGAACTTTGAGCATATCCATGGACGACTTCACGCAGAAAGCGGCTCTCACAGCAGGGCGCGCGAGATTCGTGGTTCACCCAGGAGCCACCTTCAACCGCCAGCCGACAGATGCGGGTGCATCCGGATCCTCATCTGGTGGCGCCGCAGTCGTGAGCGCTGAGCAACCTACAGGTGCAGCCGCAGTCTTGCTCGGCACCGTCCTCAGCGAAGATGTGCCAAGACAGCAAGAACTGGGCCGACTAGGTGACAACAGAATGGAGACGTTTCTGGTTGCAGACGCCGAGCAAGGTGCTCGCGCGCCGCCAGCGTTGCGGGAGCTCTTTGAGCCAAGGCCGGACGGTGCTGCCCCCGATGAGTATGGAGACACGCGCGAGGCACTCGGAAGCGCTCTCGCGACCTGGGTCCCCTACGTGTTTACCTGCTTCATGCCGTTA